TTTCCCAATAAGCAATTTGGAATGTTGACCAAAAATAACGAAGGTGGGGAAACAAGTGCAAGCATAAAACAAATGGCTATTGAAAACACAAATGGTGATCACATCAGTGTCACATTATCGTTTAACAGAAATAACTTGCCACCACCTTCGTAATTGCCAGCATTCCGATTGAAACGGTAGGAACTCAGCTACCTTTACAGACTGCATCTCACTTACAAGAACAGTGCAGGCTGGACTTATCCGGCATGTTGGTCAAAATTTCACTCGGTAAATTTTTTTGCAATAATTTTCAATAAAATTGTGTTATATGTTTTCTGGATTGATGGGAATTCTTATTTCCTGACGAGCCATGTTGGTGTCCGTGTCATGCGATCCGACTGAGACACATTCTTAGCATACTGGTTGCAATGATTAGCGTTTCAGGAGGAGTGTATCAAAGTATTGCCATAATTAGCAAGATGGGATGGTTGGAGAGTAATGTCATCCACACAAATAATCTACTTTATGTAGAAGCTGCATTTTTCGGCATAGTATCATTCATTGGAGACTTCACGTCTCAGGATACCAGTGCAGCATATTTTCGTGTGAAAAACTACTATTTGACAAGTGAATGCTATCAGTACATGGAAATCATCTATAAATGCTAAAAGAACCTCCTGTGGGAACAGAAGTTATCATGTAGATGCCCCTGTCACCGTGTGTGTGTGTTTGCACAGGAATTATCGTAAGTTGAAAGGTTATCTCTTAGTGGATTTAATCTATATTTGCACTGATTGGCCAGGCACAATATGGTTTATGTGAGTTCAGTGCATGAAAATATCTCAACTTAAATAATATTTTGCCATTATCTGCTTAGCTGACAGCTAGGCTAACAAATGTAGGTGATTCTCATGATTATTGCAAGTACAGTGCATTGCAGAAGGCAATAACTCGTTTATTTTTCATCCCTGTTTCACTTAGTGCATTAATTCAGTGCATAGTATTATTATACACATGAATTGTGTTGATTATGAGAACTGAATCTAGTCCCCTCTATTATTATCAGTCTGCTGTCTGTTATACCATTCCCACTGACACTGTATACTTAATGTTGCAATATTTTTGATCACCGACAGTGGAGATGAATTTCGCCTGAAATTTTTATTTATAAGAAGCAGCACAGATGCAGCATCACTACTGAATGTCCAGGTTGCATTATATGGCATTGTTGCCTTCAGCAACACAACAGATCTGAGTGTTACAATATTTTAAGTGTTTCTCCATACTGTTAACACTGTGCACAGCTGCTTAGAGTTGAGGCATGTTCAGCTTATATTTGATGACTATAGTCTCCTAAATATGTAGGATTCACAAAACTATGTTCACCAGACATTACTGAGTTTGTGGATTAATTTCTAGGTTACACATTTGCAAAACTTCCTTTAATGTAAACGTATTTAGTGTGAAGTTGATCTGCAAGTAATCTTGTTGAGGGAATGAAGCCTCAACAGTATGGATGTTTCAAAGATTTTCTCGAAATTTGCATGAAGAAATCGGCTGGATATTGAACATGCTGGTCACAGCTGTGGCGGATTTTCAAAACAACGTGAGTTTTTAGCATTCCTATACTTTTCGTAGGCTGACAGTATTAGGTATGACCTTAAGTTCTATAAATACGTTCGATTAGGTGTTTAAATCTGGGTTCTCTAAGTGCTGTATTTTTCCTGGTGGACTGGTAACATATCGTATTCTGTCAGCCTTTCCTGTATGGATTTCTGCAGAGATTTAGCTGTGGCATTCATTTCTGCACTGTACTTATATACGTGACATGGAAAGTAGCTTTAATGAGCTTATGAGTGATTAAATTAAATCAAGTAATACACAATTGAACACACTGCACTAAAATGTGCACATCGGATTACTGTCTACATAAATATACATATATAGATATAGATACAGGCATATGCGTATATGCACATATACATGCATATATATGTAAATAAATAAATATATTTATATATATGTCCAACAGTAGTGGGAAAATAAGGTTGGTTTGTGTTGCTGCTCTTAACGCCTCTCTCGATGAAGACTTAGCGTTATCATAAAGGTTTTTGTATTTCCCAATGAATGAAAAACAAAACGATATTGTTTTTACTGACGTTTCGCTATTTAATGCTAATAACTTTATCAAAGTATTATTAAACCAGAATTTACAAAATCTCAGCATATTTATATATATGCTGAGAATAAGGATTTATCCTAATTCTAAGAGTCTGAAAGGACTTACCCTTAATCAGACTGACTTTTTCAAAAGTCTTATAAATGATCTTAAAAGAAATATATCACAGTGACAATCTCCATTTGATGATTTACCTCGGGAATTACAATTGATGTTTTGGAATATGTTAAGAACGTAACAGTAAGCATAATGAATAAAAAAGGATTAGTCCCGTCAAGCCGAAGGCTTGAAAAGAAATTTCCATCAGTTCCCGGCCAGTATGTTCACAATTTTTCCAGTGTTGTACGTAATAAATTTCAACTGGAGGTGTTATCTCTAGGTCCTGAATTTAGCGACTATGATCCTAAAGTTAATCAATTAGACACGGATGTACACTTTGAAAATTTGTATTCGCAAACGTCTGACCTAACTCCATCATGAACTAACGATGAACTGACTAGGTTTAAAACTATGCTAGTTGATGGCTGCCAACGGTTCAAAAATAATAGACACTCAGTAAATAGTCTGTTACCTCAGCAACACAGAGAAGCTCTAAGAGAACTTAATTATTAGCAAGCCAGATCAGGGTGACGGTGTAGTTTTATTGGACAAAAGTGATAACGTTAAGAAAATGGAAGGTGTTTTGAATGATCAGGCTAAATTCCAATCCCTCGGTTGTTCCAAGGACCTCAATGTAAAAGCGGAGAAACTAATGACAGAATCAAATAACTGAACCAAAAAGGAGTATTATCATCAGGCATGTATGAGTCTATGTACCCAGCGGGTACCAACTCTCCACGTCTTTACGGTCTACCCAAAGTGCACAAACCAGATCTTCCTCTTCACCCACTTTTAGATATATATAACTCTCCATTTCATGGAACAGCAAAGTGGTTAGTGAAGATTCTGGGACCTTTGCACAAAGAAATTGTACGACATAGAATTAGTGATGTCTTCGACTTTATTTCTAAAATATCGGAGACTAATTTTTAATGATAAACGTATGTTATCTGTGGATGTATCTTCATTATTCACGAATGTACAACTTATTGTAACAGTAGGTTAGATTTGCCAAAAAATCATCGAAAGACAAATGGACTTAGGAAGTCCCTTGTGTGGTCTCAAAGAATTGCTCCTTAAATAATGCACACTACGCTGCCTCCCTGGCAAATGTAGTGATTTGCATTTATCTCTGACAGGTTTCAATACATTACTCGGTTAAAAGTGGTTAACTAGACTACTATGATTGTGTGATATGCGCTTTATTTATTTAGGTGGGGTTCTTGAACTTATTTTTTTGATCGAAAAATTGTTGCTTATTGCTGCGTAGTGCTTGCATTTTACTCTCTGTTGAGGTTGTCAAGGTAGATTATTATTAAAGCTACCACAGCATGTTTAATAATAATTCCAAACAGAATTTCGGTACAAATATAGAATTTTCAGCTTGTAGTACAGTATTGCATCTTACTTCCTCACTATACGGGTAATAATTAAAACACCGCATTTACATTGATAATATTGTTCAACAAGAATGTAAATATAAAATTAAATCAAGTGAAAATAATAACAAAAAAAGAAATAAAAATTTCAGTGATTAACTTCTCTGACAATCTAACTATTGTTGCTTTTTAATACTTTTGCCCTGTTCTACATTATTGTGTGATTACACGTGCAAGTGAATACATTGCAATCTCTGAGATTTTCTGAGCATATCTGAAGCTTGATCACCTTTGAATTCCAAGTTCATGAATAAGGTTTTCTTTGGAACTGAGTCGGTGACCAGTTTAGACTGCTTATCTTTCATGTTACTGTCAATAAATCTGTTCGGGTAACCGTTTTCTGCGAGCGTGGCTTTTAGGAAGTGGAGTTCTGATTCAACGCAAACAGATTTACAAATGCTTTTTTATCCTAAAGCAAAGCGAATGAATTAGGTTCCTATTCCTAGAGATAAACACTCAACTATAAGAATTAGTTGTCCATTCCATGTACGTTTCCGGTGGATGGATCTTTTGAGAATTCGTCATTACGTCTACTAAGGCACACATCAAGAAACGGAATACTTAGTTCAGATTCCTTTTCTATGATGAATTGTAAAGAAGGATGGCAGTTGTTGAAAGCAAACAAGACATCATCATGAATTACGTTATTATCGCAGATAACGAAAGTGTCGTCTACGTATCTTTTATAAATATCAAAATGACCGATGGTTTGACTAAGTAGAGAATTTTCAAGCTTTGCCATAAAACAATCAGCCAACAAGGGGCCCAGTGGTGATCCCATGGCAATGCCATCTCTCTGTCTAAAAATCTCATTATTGAAGTTGAACTGAAAACATTTACACAATGCTGGAGATCTGTGAGCAAAGTCATACTGCTGGGGAACAGGAATATAACAGCAGTAAGGTGTTTCCCTTAAATGACCAGCATGCCGACCAGCTGTACTGTCTCTCCACTCTGTAAAGGTTTGGGGAATTAGAAAAAGTCGACGCCAAACATTGTACAACATCCCAACTTACCCTACAGTGTACTCCGTAGCCGGTGGTAAGTTACTAAAAGCCAGTTCAAACAGCCCGTGTGTGTATGTGTGTGTGTGTGTCAGGCTTCAAGCCGTTATCCCCTGAACTCTGCGGTCACGCAACACTAACTCCAAGAAAAAAAATCAACTTCCATAGTGTGGCCAGCCGGGAAGTAACAACCGCCTACCCACTAGCTCAATAACACATAAAGCCTCTTTGTAATTAAATTGTCAATATGAATTCATATTGCATCCTTCTTTTTTGTTTATATTATAGATTGTCAAATAAATGGTCAACGCTGAATCGTCTACTTCACACAATCAAAATGTCTCATCTTATCCCTTTAGAAATAATAATGTTAATATCTTATCCAATCTGGACAGTACACATGGATATGTTGATTTAAAGTGTATAAAGGGGAAAAGTCTTCGAGAAAGATTTCACGAATTATTACCGTCATCCTCCACATCATCATCATCATCTTCGGTTTCAATCAAATATGAACTAGACAATCGTATTGATCGTTTTAAAGAAGCTTGTCTACAGTTAATTGGTAAAGATTCAGTCAGTCTGAAAGAACTTGCCACGTCTGCTATATTCATACTCCTTGGAGATATGGGTGATCAATTCGTAGAGTTGATTAGTCGTAGTGTCTCTGTTGTCGATATACCACGTCATTGTTCACTGAAACAATTAAAGCCTAAATTGCTATGCAAAATTGGAGCTTCTGGAGCTGTGAATATTGATTTAGCATGGATTGATGTATGCAAATGTCTAGGATCACTGTTAGCCTATCATCCATTTAAGACAGTTGATCGAGATCAATTCAGTGAATTATTTCGTCAATGTCGTGTTGTTTCACAGAATGAAGAACTTATTCTAAAACTTGTAAATAATAATGTTAATAGTAGTAGTAGTCATAAGCAGAGAAAAGCATTTCATCGGAGTACATCTAGTAAAAAGAATTCTGCTGAAAAAAGGAATGGAAGTGTAGAAAAACAGGATGGCTGTAATAATGACCTTCAAGACGAGGATGTGACTGATCCATTCAGGTAAGAAATTTTGCTATTCTTTTCTTTTTCCCCGTTTTATAAATAATAACTTTCGTTTATTGTCATCCCTTGTTTTTTTATTTGAGTGGAACATTCGGAGGTGGAATGGGTGGGCTTTAAGCTGTAAAGCTTTAAATGTTCAGGTGGTGATGCTTATTTTTTTTCTCACAATAGATAGGTTTGTTAACCTTACACCAAACCTACTTACTTACTCTCCATTCCTTTGTCGTTGACTGGAAATTGAACCCGAGGCGAAGAATCTATCAATTATGAGCTTCAATTCGTTTACAACAATACAAAAAATTACCGAAAATACCCACCCATTGAGTTATGAAGAAAACAAAAGACAAATTCAGCGAGGAAAATGTTTTCTTTATCGACGAAATCATCATCTCATCAGAGGCCGAAAAGTCGTATTTATATTTACCAAAAATGTATAGTAGTCTATTATTGAGTAATAGATGGGGGGGGGGCGGGGTGACATAATTGATATAATTACTCGGAAGTGGCTTTAGAAGTAAAAAATTAAAACTTGTAAATTACGTGGTACTCAACGGCACAAAGATAGTAACTTGATAAGGTTAAAATTGCTACTGAGTGGGAATAAAGGTAGTTGAGTGTCAATTTAACAAGTATGAAAAGGGTGTGAAAATGTACAAAAGGAGCATATGAGAGTGATAATAGTGAATTAATTATTAAAGCAAAAGCAAACTAAAAGTAAAATTAAAAATTTAAAAAAAGGAAAAGAAAACATCAAAATTTTCTACAGGGAACGACTAGTAAAGAGGTTAAGACCAAGGTAGAATAAGAGACTGGACAAACTTTTTTCTGTATACAGAGTTCAGGGTTGTATTGACGAATTGCCAGCGCCTCCACCATACACAAAAGCCGAAACCTGACGCCCTTTGTACCATTCGGCCTCACCTTGTAGATAATCTTGAAAGACTACTCTGTTGGAGTTACGTGGCTTGAGTTCACCAAGGTGAGAATTGAGCTAGTAATTGTTTTGCATTGTCCTTTTGCTAACCATGCCGGATAATGTTCAGAGATGCGTTTGGAAAGTGTGCGCCAAGTTGTGCGGCCAATATAACTAGCTCTGCAGGAGCAGGTGAATTTATAAACACACATTGAATTGGCCCAAAGCGGCAGTTTATCCTTCACACATCCATTGATCATTTGTTGGCTGTAGAAATTGATACTTAGCTCAGCCATAAAGAAGGCTTAAAAAAATCATATTTTCAAATGTTAGTTTATATGGATTGGATTGGGAACAAGTTTGATCAAGCTGCGATTTACTCCTGTCAAATGTAAGATGATGCTACAGAACTGGACTGGACTACATTGACTCACTCTTAGCTTAAAAATACGGAGTGAGGTGGTTGTTGAGCGTGTTGACCACCACTTCACTTCATTGGGAATTCTGTGTTCTATCTCTCGTTTTAGGTGGCACAATAGGGTGAGTAAGATTGAGGTGAGGCATTGGTCGAGTGCTAGGTAAGGAGGGAGGGGAAATTAATCCATGAGGTGGTTAGGAAGCAGCTGTATCAATTGAGAGAGATGGTTAGGACATGTGTTACGCATGCATGCCTAGGCATCCATCGCCTCCCTCGATAATTGGCAATGTTAGCTGCTGACACAGGATGTATCAGGTTGGTTAGTTTAAGCCAGCCAGTCACGTAGGGACGGGGATGCAGATGGTGTCTTCCGGATAGTAAAATCCAATGAAGGCTGGAGATAGTCGATGATATGGCTCAAAATCATCGTTGTCAATGGCTGGCGTGGATGCATTCACTCTTTGTGATATGTCATACTTAATGAAACTCTACTGTTCTTCCATATTAATATTCTTCCCTCCCCCATTATTTCTGTTTACTATCTCCGTTTTGAATCTCTTTATATTCTGTTCTCTTGCTTTGTGTGCTTCATAGAGGGAAAGTGTGGCAACTGGAACTGGTGCACGTCTGTGCAAAATTCTATGCTTAGATCAGTCAGTCAGATAAAGACACTTTAAATTCTCTTGATAATTATGCTCTGCTGTTTTCATTGTTAGTATTATTATTATTTCTTTGGGTTCTGAGTAGAGTATTACGGATTCAGCAAAAAGTCTCCATCACCCTGTATCCCCCGTAGTTGTTTTCGCCTGGCCCTACCTCTACCCATAAGCTTTCATTTCCTCCTTTAAAATCACTTCAGTGTCATCCTCGGATAATCAAATGATTGGTTCTCATCCGGGTTCCTTTCGACGGTCCACTTTGTGCCTGATGTCAGTCAACAATTTCGCTCAGTGCATTTTCATTTAATATTTCTCCATTCTCTGTCTGTACGTCGGTGGCACAGCGGTTGAATGCTTGCCGACCACGTGTGGCCGACCAACGCACTCCTTTACCTCGCTCGCTAAGCCAGTAGTTAATAAGACTGGTAAAGAGAGAAGGTTAGGCATGAGGCCAGCAAGCCCATCCCGTAAAAATAAACACCCCGCTGCTACTGAAACTTCAAAAGAGCTCTAGCTTGAAGGCGCCCTACGTTCCACTGGGAACGTAAAAGAAAAAAAACTAAAAGCTAACCAATTCTCTCTGACATATTTATTGGACATTAGGCTATCGGTTTATTCGTTGTCTGTCAGACTTCCTGGTTGCTAATCCTTTTCAGGCCCCGGGTATGTGATCGTCACTACAGACCCAATGAAACCAACTTTGTGAATAAAAGTCTGAAGCCTGTTCAACATGCTTTCGGTGACACTTCAAGTCGGAATCTTGTTCTTTAATGCTGCGCTCAACAGATTTTGCACACTGATTTTAGAGTAATGAACAACTGTCGTGCTTTTCTCAACCGCATCTCTGCAGCGTGTAGTTGAAACACCGATACTCTCATGGTGTCGTGAAAGAGTTGACTTCTGTTAGATTTCTCCTATAGTGAGTCGTAAGAAAAGGGAAGAAAAAATCTCTTTTCGACGATTCATTTTCATAAGCTGCTATGCAATCGTAATTATATGTAACAAGGAAACCATAAGACCAATTAGATGCTGGTAAAATTTGTCCTCGAAAACGTATTACGTAATGTAAAGTGTAGTCTAGAAAGGGTGACTAAATGGAAATTAGAAAAGGGGACAGAAGTTGGCATGACGTAATAACTGTGAGAACATGACTAATCAATATAATTGTGTAGAGTGGACAGGAACTAGCGCGAAGATGATAAAGTGTTTTTATATAAAATCTGTATGAAAACTCAGTGTTATTAATAAACAGTAGTAGAGTGATAATGAAATATAGATGGTGGGAATAATAATGATAATAACAGTAATACTAGTAACAATGATAATAGTAAACTTACATAATACAAGGAAGCAAAATTATAGTAGGAACTTTACTCTGGCCACTGTAGGGCGAGAGAATGTATGTAGTGCTTTTGAATGCAGAGGTCTCGTTTCTTTTCCCGAATACCCAATGATTCAGCTATGTACAGATGGCATATTCGAAGTCCTTTCGTACGATATTGAGGGACTCTGTGTAGCACTGTGAAGCATTCATGCAGGTGGCGGTGCTCGATGTCCAGAGTTGACAAGGTGTTCGAGGATGGAGCCACTAGTATTCTTCTTTTCTCCTCTGGTTGGCTAGCCGAGCTGGACAGTATTCCAGAATACGTTTGCAGACTTGACGTTGCGTACAGCCGATATACTTTGCTCCATACGAACAAGTAAACTGATAAATACATATTGAGGTGGCCAAAAGTGGTATCTTGTTCTTAACGTTAGACTGGATAAATTGTCTGATGGATAACTTGATGTGTAGGATGGCTGCTTGAAATATCTTCTGCTTCGATGTCACCTTTGAATTCCAGGTTCATGAAGAGAGTTTTCTTAGGACCAGTTGTGATTTTTCGCGACAGAGACTTTTCCGTTATTTTTTGTCGATAAATCCCGTTCTCTTTCAGTAGGGTTTCACGCGTAATGAATTTAACTCATTCTCTATCATGTCTTCCGAGCAGATTTTTCGAATCCTTGAATATAATGTACGCACTAGGTTTTTACATTCGGATGAGTGGAAGTTGATAAACTGTCCCATCCATGTTGGCTTGCGATATATATTGATCTTTGGATCGTGCAGTCTTGTTTTCTGGTAAGTAGTACATCCAGGAATGGAAATGCCATGTTTGATTCACATCCAGTAGCAACAAAGAAGTCTGGAACAAACCAATCAAGAGGCGATTGCTCAACATATATGTAGGAGAAAATGGAGATGGATCGAGCAGTCACTGAGAAGACCGTCGAATGACATTACTCGCCAGACCCTCGAGTAGAGCTCGAATGGGAAACGATGAGGGCGTCGGAGGGTGAAATGGAGGAGATTGTGTAACGAGGAGGAGATGACAGACTATGGGCAATCGGGGGGTCAGCTAGAGAGGACCTCAAACAATAGGACAAAGTTGGGATGTGCTGTTGAGGCACTGTGTTCCACTCGCAACCTAAGGAAAATAATAATAGCAATAAAAATTGGGCTTCGGTCCGAAACTAACGAAACGGTAATCCGGTGTTTTTTAGACCAGTTCAACCTGGCTAACTGGCTGGAGAGCACTGACGTTTGATGCGAAGGGTGTCCAACTACTCATTTCCACTAATCAGTAGTATATAGAGTCATACATGCAAATTTTAAGGGATTATAACTAACCAACTGATTCTTATTATTCCTTTTGCAGGCGACTTCTTCTAGCTCCTCTAATTGAACAAAATAAAAAGAAATCTACCAGCCAACCCGCAGCTGCTTCTTCTTCGTCTACCTCACTACAGTCAACCAGTCTTTCTACATTAACAAACAAGTTATCTCATAAAGCTAGACAATTAGACATATCCGATGAACAATTTATTCAAATGATCTTTGATATTTTAGCCTCTTCTAAGTCAAATGATGAAGTACAAGAAGAGGTGAGATTTGCTTTTTTCAAATGTGAAGATGCTTTCTGACTGACACTTCTGGTTGTATATTATTATTATTTTTCCTTTAAGTTCTGAGTGAAACATAGGGCTTCAACAGTACACCTCCATTTTTATCCTGCTCTCAACAGTCCTTTATAGCTGGCTGTTTGACTACGCGGAAGCTCTCATCTTCTCCTTTCACGATCTCGTCTATGACACCCTCGAACTGACGCCCAATTCGTCTCTCCCCATTTATGTGTCGCTTGAGGGTCTGCGTGGCCTGTAATGTCACTCAGTGGTCTTCTCAGCTTGTGCCTATCTGATCCATCTCCATTTCCGTCAGCATATTTTTTGGGCAATAGGTTCCTGGTTGATTCGTTGTCTGTCAGAGTTTCTTCTTACTAGTTCTTTCTAACTGGCCGACTATCTGATCTTCAGCATGGAGCTGGTGAAGGCATCTGTTGTAATAGTTGTGGTCAATACCTCCTTGCCCCCCCCGCCTGCCAACCTTTTGTAGAGACTTAGTATATTGCTTAGTTGAAACATGGCTTCTGTCTGACTGGCATTCAGGGATTCACTGATTTTGATTTTCAAGGCAATTTATCCATTTCACAGCTGTTATGAGTTTTTGTCTCAAAGGGTTAGGCTACATTCCACTGTGTATTTTTTTAATATTCATATATCTTAATTGAGTTGTAGGCGATTGATTTAAGAGCCTGGTGTTGCAGTCATCAGGTTACGGGTTCGAGTCCCACTCCACCGAATACTTCAGCCTAGAGGCAACTAACTGGGTAGTATCACCAGCTATCAAACTATAATAAGTTTGGCTCATGTAGCCTGATATAAGAAAACTGTGTTCCGATCAACTGAGCCTAAATAACAAACTTTCTTCATCAGCATAACAAACATATATGATATGTAAGACACTCAACTCGTACAATCCTGCGAAATAATTCGATTTTCAAGTTGGAACTGATTTTGTGGTGAAAACTGCCTGCAAGCCAAAATTGTAGACAACAATTGACGTCAATGTTTACGTCCCGAATCGGGGTCATGAGAAAAAAACGCAATAACAAAGCTTAACCTTGAGGAACTCACCAACCAATCACAGCAGACTTAACGTGTGCAAATATGATTCGCAGATATACGGCTTAACTTTCTGAGAAACGGTCACAAGCAGTACAGAATAACCTTGAGCAAGAAAACAACCAATCTGAAGACGTTACCTGTCTGCTAACAATAACACTAATAATAATGTACATAAAAATCTATAAATATCTGTTGATTTTCTCAATAAACGATCTGTCGCCTGGCTGCCCTTGTCTTCTGTCGTTACAATTTGACCGTCTAAGTTGAGTCAAACGGGTTACAGCACTGATGAGCTCTGCCCTCAAACAAGTGAAAAGGCCCGCCCCAAGGTGTTAAGATCACCTTGATCTGACTGACTGGTTGGCTAGCTAGTGGTGCACAACTACTCATCTCAATCAATCAATCAATCAATTAATTAGTAGTATGTAGTTACTATGATTTTCAAATGGTTTTTGAGTTTTTCTCACATCTTCTAATACTCGTGGTAATTGTACGGTGTTTTCCACTCCTGCATGTATATCCAACATACATATGTCCAGCTTTCCATTTTCTGTATTTCTTTCTCCCTCCCTCTCCCCTCCGCAGTTATTCGAATTAATTGGATTGGATTGTGTGGATATTGTCTTCGATCTGGTAAATCGGCGGGATGAATGGATAAATGTTTATTTTCCAAGCGATGGTAAGATTTTTGTGTTCTTAAAGCAAAGTATTTGCCATGTAGTTGTTCTTTATATGCGTCCCTCCTTCCCTCCCTCTCTCACCTTGAGCAGCAATCTTCGTATGTTTGGCATGCGATTCGCCCCTGTAAAATGTAAGATGCTGCTACAGGACTGGACTACGTCAACTCCTAGCTTAGTGATAGGGAGTGAAGTGATAGAACATGTTGACCACTTCACCTATTTGGGAAGTTGTATCAGCACCAACGGATTGATTGGTGACGAAATCTCAGCACGGATCCAAAAAGCTCGGACTGCTTTCGCTAACTTACACCGTCTCTGGCGTAGGCGTGACATCCGGCTATCAACCAAGGGACGTGTGTACTGCTCAGCAGTTCGCTCCGTCCTTCTCTATGGCTCTGAAACATGGCCAATACGAGTTGAAGACATGAAAAGGTTGTCTGTTTTTGATCATAGATGTTTACGATCTCTTTCTCGCGTTAGGTGGCATAATAAGGTAAGTAATGTTGACGTTAGGCGTAGAGTGTTGGGCAAAGAGGGAAAATCAATCGAAGAGGCTATAAAGTTACATAGATTGAGATGGCTAGGTCACGTGCTGCGCATGCCTAACCATCGCCTCCCCCGACGGACGGGCATTACTAGCTGATATAGGTGCAGGTTGGAAAAGAGTAAGTGGTGGCCAAACAAAAACATGGCATCAATCCATGAAATCCTTGACAGTTAAACTGAGTCAGGTAGGGAGATGCAGACTTCCGGGTTGGGGCCCTCGGGACTCTAAGAATCAATGGCTGGAGACAATAGGTGACATGGCTCAAAATCGTTGTCAATGGCTTACGCAGATGTATTCAGTCTCTGTAATCTTTCATATTCCTTTCTACCATTACTCATTCTGTTTCACTCTTATACTTGTCACAACTCTATTGATTCTCTTCACTCATTTTCTTGTCTACCTTTGTGTGCTATTTGGAACGTGGCAACTCGAACTGCTGCACTTCGGTGCCAAGTTCTATGTTGAATCCAGCCAGCCAGACCTCTCTCACTCGCTCACTCACTAATTCACTGGTTTCCTGATTTCATTATACACTAGCACGTCTGTTAGTGGTGATAAAGTTTCAAAATGGAACTATGCGCAGAAGTCTAGCAGTTAAACTTGTCATATTCCATGTAGCACACAAAGGTAGGGAGAAATAGGAGGGAGATAGGGATAGGAACATTGAAAACGATGATGGTTTGGTGGGTATGGGGTTTCTCACACACACACACACGGAGTGAATGCATCTACGTCCTTAACAATGAATTCGAGACATATCAGCAATATAACGACATATATCTACCAATTTAACTGCTCCTGTAGAGCCAGTTACATAGGCCGTGCAATTACGCGTGTTTCTCGTCGAATTTCCGAAAATCACCCTGTGTGGTTAAGTAAAGGACAAACAAAATCCATTCGTAGCGTCATTCTATCTCGTCTTGTGGATACAGAACACAAGATTGATGATGTTAACGAGGCAGCTTTCAGGGTCCTTTACCACATACCAACAAATCTTAACTTCACCTTAAGAGTTCGTCTACTAAATATTGCTGTTAGGATCCACATTAAGACTGTCTGTCTGTCTGTCTGTTTTCGACATAGAACTTTGCACATATGTGCGGCAGTTCAAGTCGCCACAATCCATGTAGCACGCAAAGCAAGAGAAGGAAGTAGAAGAAATGCATAATATAGACAGTAAACAGAGGTGTGAGACAAAGGAATAGTAATAACGGAGAACAAAACAGTTTAATTGGAAATCATAAGTCACAAGGAGTGGATGCATCTGCGCCACTGAGAACGATTTTGAGCCATGTCACCAATTGTTTCCAACCATTGGTTTTTACCATCCCGAGGGCCCCAACCAGGGAGTCTACATCTTCCTACGTGGCTTAGATTAACTGTTGTGGATTTCATTGATTGGTGTTATGTTTTGGTTTGACCGCCGCTAGCTCTTTTCCAGCCTAGCCCTATATCAGCTAACATTGCCCGTCGAGGAAGGCGATGACTAGGCATACGTAGCACATGTCCTAGCCATCTCAGTCGAAGTAATTTCACAGTCTCGTCGATTGATTTCCCCGCCTTACCTAGCACTCGACCGAAGCCTAACCTCAATATTGCTCACCTTATTATACCACTTCACGCGGGAGATAGAACGCAGACACCTATGATCGAAGACAGCTAATCTTTTCATGTCTTCCAATCTCAATGGCCAGGTCTCACATCCATAAAGGAGGACGGAGCGGACTGTTGAGCAGTACACACGCCCTTTGGTCGATAGTCGGATATCGCGTCTACGCCAGAGACGGCGAAAACTGGCGAATGCGAACCTAGCCCTCTGTATTCGTGCTGAAATTTCGTCGGAGATCAACCCGTTGGGGCTGATGGTACTTCCCAAGTAAGTGAAGCGGTCAACGTGTTCTACCACTTCACTTCCTATTTCTAATCTAGGGGTCGATGAAGTCCAATCCTGCAGCAACATCTTACATTTTATAGGGGCGAATCGCATGCCAAACATGCGGAGATTGTTGCTCAGGGTGTTCAGTAGACTCTGCATTTTGTCAGAGTCCTCGCCTAGAAGGACTATATCGTCCGCATATTCTAAGTCAACGAGATTCTTCCCTGGTAGCAAGTCAATCCCTGAGTCGCTGAAGTGAGTTAGGGTTAAGTCCATTAGTACATCTATGATGAAATTGAATAGGAATGGGGATAATGGGCATCCTTGACGGACGCCACTAGTCGTCACCACTTCAGATGACAACTCGCCATAAGCCCTCACCTGGCTGCATGAGTACGAGTAGAGTGCCTTAATCAGTGCAATGTATTTTCTTGGCATTCCCTTTACAGCCAAGCATCGCCAGAGAACCTCCCGGTCGACAGAATCGAATGCTGCCTTTAGGTCAAGAAATATAATGATTGTCGGACGCCGGTAGGAATGCCTATGTTCTAGAATCTGTCGAAGGGTGAAGATGTGATCAATACACCCTCTACCTGGCCTAAAACCTGCCTGGTTTTCTCGTGTTTGTGTCTCCCGAGCACCACTTAATCTACGCAGTATTATTGAGCCTAGGATTTTAGATACTATATTAGTCAAGCTAATCCCTCTGTGATTATCACAAGACGACTTGTCCCCCTTCTTGTATATCGGGATGATCAGTGACTTACACCAACCCGATGGGACTTCCTCTGATTCCCAGACGCTGCCTAGAACCTCCGTTAACGCAGACAGTAAACTGTCGCCTCCGTACTTAAATACCTCTGGAGTCAATAAATCAGGTCCCGCTGCTTTGCCTAGCTTCAGATTGGTGACAGCTTTGGTAACCTCGGTTAAGGACGGAGGACCTGTGTCTATCTCCCATTCAGGGAGGTGTTGGATGTCCGGTAGGTTAAGTGTGGCTGTGGGCCAATTAAACTGCTCCTCATAGTGTTCTTTCGAGCGCTCCAGACGTCTATCCTGGGAGCTAATTATGGTGCCATTTTTCTCGGAGATTGTTTCGCTTATCATTTGTTTTTTACCACCTGTTTCCTAATTTTTTGCCTAATTTATGTGTCCAAAGGTAGTTAGTTCAGACATTGTCCTTACTTTGGCCATCTTGGTTCGAATAATCCTTAATTTTTTGTAGAATTTTCCTAATTTTAGTTGATATTCTATTTGCCACTATATTTTTATTATTATTATAATTCAAGCATCTTTAATGAACTGTAATTCCATTGAGAACTTACTTTACAAATCGATATTATTTAAAAAACTACTAATATTGTCATTGACTACTAATCTAGAATATTCTGTGTATATAAACATGCATATATTATTGTAGAGCCAGAAGGGAAAATTATCGAAAAGGATATTCTTTGCTCAATTATTTTGTGTTTTATAGATATCAGCAATAGTCTCTAGCCACCGGTTCTTAGCATCCCAATGACTCTGACCAGGCAGTCAACACCTCTTGATGTAGCTAGCTAGCTCAACGCTACAGTCAAAGTTTTTGTGAATCGATGCCAGATTTTGATTTGACTGCCTGTGTAACTCTTTTCAAATATCATCCTTTGTCAGCTAACATTACTTGTTGAATAAGAAGGCGTTGCATTGAAATACGCAACACACGTGTCCAAGTAGACATCTCAATGGATGTAACTTTACAACCTCATTGATTGACTTACTGTCCTTAGCTAAAACTCTACGTCTAACCTCGATACCGAATAATAATAGTAACAGCTTTATTCCAAACAGTACTTTTGGTACAAATTTTCAGCATGTAATATTATCATCGAAAATACCTAATGAGTGAGTCATGAAGAAAATAAAAGACAAATTCAGCGAAGAAACTGTTTTCTTTATCGACGAAATCATCTTCACAGGCTGTACAGTCGTATTTATATTTACCAAAAATGTATAATAGTCCATTATTAAGTAATAGGGTAGGGGGTGACATAATTGATATAATTACTCAGAAGTGGCTTTATTAGTGAGAATAATAGTTGTAAATTGCGTAGTACTCAACGACAGAAAGGAAGAAAGCGTTAGAAATTTGACAAGGTTAAAATTGTTGTTGAGTGTCCATTTAACAAGTGTGAAGAGGATGAGAAGGTGTACAAAAGGAGCATATGGGAATGACAAAAGTGAATCAGCTGTTAGAAATAAAAGCAAATCTAATTCATAAAAAAGTTACATGGAACAATTAATGAAGAGGTTAAGACCATGGTAGAATAAGAGACTGGACAAAAGTTTTCTGTATACAGAGTTCCGGGTTGTATTGACGAATCGCCAGTGCCTCCATCATACACAAAAGCCGAAACCTGACGCCCTTTGTACCATTTGGCCTCACCTTATAGATAATCTTGAAAGACGACTTTGGTGGAGCTACATGGCTTGAGTTTACCAAGCGCTGGAGAATTGAGCTAGTAATTGTTTTGCATTGTCCTTTTGCTAACCATGCCGGATAATGTTCAGAGATGCGTTTGGAAAGTGTGCGCCAAGTTGTTCGGCCAATATAACTAGCTCTGCAGGAGCAGGTGAATTTATAAACACACACTGAAGTGTCCCAAATTATATCAATTATGTCACCCTCTACCCTATTACTCAATAATGGACTACTATACAATTTTGGTAAATATAAATACGACTGTACAGAGTCGATAACGAAAACAGTTTCTTCACTAAATTGTCTTTTATTTTCTTCGTGTATTGCATCTAATTTTCTCATTAGAGGAGTAATAATTAAAGTAGAGCATTTACATTGATAATATGTTTCAATAACAATACGAATATAAGATTAAATTAAGTGAAAATATTAACAACAATATAATAATGAACAAAAGGCCATTTATCTAGAGTTCCGCAGTACCTGCCTTACGCTTTTCTTATCCCACAAAATGTTTGCCTGTCGAAGAAGGTATTGTAGAGCTTTTGTACTTAGTCGTCCGAGCATACATACAGTCTTCTATAGTTGTTTCTAATTCTACCTGATGAGATAGATGCAGAAAGGAGAGAGTTGTGTATGGAGCGGATGGTCAGAGTTTGACAGGATAATATTTGCTAATTTCTTGCAGGAATCTAAGTGTCTATTGCCTACAATAGTATTAACGAGTTGGTTTAATGACACCCCACTTGCCCTACTGACGGCTTTTAGTGCCCTTCACAGCATAACAAACAAAGTCTTTCTTGAGTAGCCGAGGAAAGATTAAGTTGTTGGGGAGCAGTAAAGAAGGATAGGCAGAATGCAGGAATTAACAAACTTAGCAAGTAGTGACGGAATGGTACCAGATCGTATTAACTTCCTTACATAGAACGTCAAACGAAATATCTTTCTGGAAACTAACATGATTGGGGGAAGACCAGGACAAATCAGGGGAAATACACAATCCAAGTATTAACATCAGTGCCATCTGTGATAGTGGAATCGTGCGAACTAACCAGTTCACATAAGTCGCGCTTGCGTGTCTGAAAGTGAAATTAACCACCATCTGACATTTGGAGGGATTAAGCTGAAGAGTGACCATTTGACGAGGACCACTGACTAATTTCTGATGAAAAAGTTATTCATTTTGGAACAGTCTGACTACGAAGTAACCGTCGGCATAGAAACAGTCAGATAAATAATCGGCATACTTAACGAAATTGACTTCGTCAGAATGCGGCAATTAAGTCATGTAAGAGGACAGAAAACAGAAATGGGGAAAGAACAGCTTCCTGAGGAGCACCTCCTAGAGTAAATGAAGCAGTGGAGAACTTCCCATTGTAAACAGTGTACTGCTTTCTACCAATTGGCACAGCAGGGGAGATAGAACGTAAAAATCTGTGGTCAAAGACAGCCAACTGTCAAATATCTTCTGGATGGATGCTCTGTTTTGGTCTGAACACCCCCCCTGCGCTTACTCTTTTCCAACCTAATCTCTATGTTAGCTAACATTATGCGTTGAGAAAGGCGATAGCGCTCGGCTTGATCTGACCATCTCTAGGTTTTTTCGTAAACTAGTCCTTATTGTAAGTAACCTTGCATTTTGGGATGGATGGTAAGTCAGTATGCTCAAAGTATATCAACCACTGGCCCTCGCTAGATCGAATGATTCATGAATTCCAACTTCTACCAGTGATTGATTTCAGCTAAACCATCAGCCAATATCATCGGTGAGTATAATTTTATCCTCACACTCTTGAAAATTAATCTGATGCTCACTATATTGACTGGCAACAGAACGAAGATGCCAGGTGTTCTAGTGAGAAGCGGTGACCAATAGGGTCTGCAAAGTCTGGTGTGTGAGGACACATACTCGCCGTTGACCATTGGCTGGCAGGTGATCGCGTGTGCTAAAATCACGAATTACTAGAAGTGAAAATTCATGAGCGATTGGATTCCATCCTAGTGGTGGTGGTTGAATGGTCGCCTTGTAAACCGGGAGGTCCTGGGTCCAGACTCCGGTGGATGCGTACCGTTGAAGAGTCTCGAACTAGGTCGAAACAGCTGTCCGGTACTCTCTGGTTTTTTAGTGGTTCTCTAGCTGCTATCAGCTTGAGATCAAATCCCTATAAACCACCAACTCTTGAAAATAAATGATTTGGTCGATTGTGGTCGATTATTAAGGAATCGTCCTTTCCTGTCTTTAGAAGATGTACTGAGTTACGTGTTCATCATTAGTTTACGTCATCTAATAATAATAACAATAATTTAATTTTGTTCCGAAATAATGTCTTATTACTCTTTTGTTCTCTGATTTTAGATCAGAAATCTGCTGAAGAAGTTAACTGTACTGATCAGGTGTGTAAGCTTAAAATCTGCATTATAACGCTTATAATAATGTACATAAAAATCTATAAATATCTGTTGATTTTCTCAATAAACGATCTGTTGCCTGACCCTTGTCTTCTGTCGTTACATTTGGTGCCGCCGCCTACCGACAAATGGAAAGCCTATGCTCTGAAGTTTTTGATGGAGACATACGGATCTTCGGGCAGGACTTCGAGGCTGTTGCGCAGTTGAGTGGCGTTCAAGATCTGTCAGCGATGAGGCTGTTACTTGGAACGCTGCTGGGATGTTGGGCAAAGGCAGCATATGAAAGTGTGAGGCGAAACACCGATGAATGCGCGCCAGGGTCAGGCAAACAGCATACAAACTGGGAAGGACCCCACGTGGTCACTTTGAGATGGGGTTACGTAGACACAATCGCAAATGTAAACAATGAGAAACAGATGGACGTCAGCGACCGCCAGAATTCCAGACAGCAAGACTAACGAATGTAGTCAACAGAACCAAGAAGACCGAACCAACTTCAGTCGAAAGTCTTTGACGTGGGGACGAGTGTGTGGTGAGAGCTGTCTGCTAGCCAAATTGGTAGACAGCAATTTACGTCAATGTTTACTTCCCAAATCTTGGTCATGAGAAAAAAACAAGAACAAAGACTTTGCATACGATTCGCAGATATTATGGTCTGACCTTCAAAGAAATGGCCACAAAGAGATGATAGAATAAGTTTCAGCGAGAAAACAACCAATCAGAAGACGCTGTTTCTGTGCTAATAATAACGCCAATAATAATGTACATAAAATCTCTCTCTCTCCCCCTCTATACATATATGAGCTGACATTAGTTAGAGAACAATTGGAAAACCTGGGAGTACTGGACAGCTGTTTCGTCCTAGTTTGGGACTCTTCATCAGTACGCACCAACCAGGATTCGAACTCAGGACCTGGGTTCATGATGAAAATCCTGTAACCAATCAAATCCCTACAAACCAACACTTGAATATCAATGAGATGCTCACTACCGACTTGCCTTATTCAGGTAGGTAGTTACCTGGGGTTCTAGTGAGAAGTCCTGACCAGTAGGGTGCAGCAGGTCGGGTGTGAGGACAAATACCTGCCGAAGACATTGCCTGGTGGTAGCGCTATGTCGTGAATTGGCAGAAGTTAGAATTCATGGGCTGGCCATTGGATCGGGTTCCAGTGGCTTAATGGTATACGAGCTCGCCTTGTAACCAGAAGGTCCTGGGTTCGAATCCCAGTGGGCGCGTACTGCTCAAGGGTCCCAATCTAGACTGACGAAACAGCTGTCATACTCACTGGTTTTCCGATGGTTCTCTAACTAATGTCAGCTCATGATGAAAATCCTTTAACCTATCAAATCCCTACAAACCAACACTTGGATATATATATATATATATATGACTAAACTTTCCAATTGGAATCTGTGATATATTTCAATAATTATTCTACCTTGATCTATCCGTTTTTTGTTTTTGTTTTTGTTGTTAGAATGAAGTTAAAAATGATAAAGGATCAAATGCAGCACTAATTGAACGATTGTTAACTGATCCAATCAGTGCGTCAAATAGTATACAGGCTAGAATTGAAGTGAATGCCAACCAGACAATGGAACGTTTGCGTAAAGCTTTAGCTAATCGTTCTACTTCTTCACAGTTAAATACTATGCCGTATGTTTTTGATGCATCAGCTGAACTGCGTAAAACAGTCAACATTGGAGATACTTCAAAGGTAGGTATAAGTGTACTTACCTCCTTTTTCATTTGTATTTTTCTTAACAAGTAAACGCATAGACAACATTTGAGGTGGTGGAATCCAGGATGTGCATTTCACCCCCGCACCCCCACCACTATATTTGGGATGAGTCGTCAGCTAGATGGATGGATGTACCTGCATTCCCCAGTGAGTGAGTGAGTGAGTGGTAGGGCTCAAACTCCGGTACCCTTCGCTTCAAACGCTAAAGCGTTATCCCCACTAGACGAGTCCCAGAAAGGACGAAACGGGCATCTTGGATTCCACACCTACCTAATAACTTCAAGTTAAATAAATCAGACATCGTCGAAGCATCCGAACTAGCAGGTCGACATGTCAATCTGAGGCCCTGAACATTTCGACCCAATCAGTCAGCGAGAAATTCCAAATTGAATTGAATTAAATAAACGCATTGGCGTGTTTGTGAAGACATGCCTGGTTGGCGAGTGCTAATAAGCACGGTGCCTTTGCTCCTCGACTTTTGTGTGACAAACGTCGTGCTAGGCTGAAATCGATTACAAAATATTGTAAAATGGGAGACAATGGTGGTGATTAGTCATAATAAACTCGTAGAGTGTGATGATTCTTCTTCTCACCAAGAGTACTCTTTCCCCTTAACCCTCTTGGTTTTTTTCCTTTGTTTATTATTACAATTATTATTATTATTATTACTCGTCATAATTTATGCCTTTCATGCAAACATTCTCTCAATACTATCGAATTTTTCATTTATACTATCCGGACTTATTATTAATGATATTATCTCTTCTCAATATTATGCCTCCACCTATTTCATTTCACATATTCGTTATTTCATTATGAACCTCTCATTGCAGTCTTACTATCTCCTCCTTTTTAATACATACCACTTTGTACTAGCCACTCACTCACCTGACACCCTTTATAACCTTGAACTGACTTGTCAATTTTCTTACCCCACACTCTACAAATCTATTATGACTAATCACCACCATTGTTACCCATTTTAAAATATTCTGTAATCGATTTCAGCCTAGCAGGAGATTTGTCACACAAATATGACTATTTATTTTGACACCATATAACTAATCTGTTATTCTACATAAAAAATGTATCCGCCGCATAACTAACTGGCTATCATTATTGTAACGATAACAAATATTATATTTTATAATTGTAAGAACCTGAAGAGGAGAAGAATGTATTGAAAAGAATATTCTTCGTTCAGATTGACTTTTAATTCATAATATGGGAATATTTCACACTATTAAATCCTCGACTTTTTCCAGATTACCTCCGACTGTTGAATAGTAATAATAATGATATCGCACGTCTTTTGTTGTTTCTAGGTGAATGTTCACCGTAGGTTTGAATAAACAGAAAACGAAAGACTTAGTGCGTCGGTGGCACAGCGGTTACGACTCTCGCCGACCATGCACATGGTCCGTGGTTCGATCCCTTGCCGACGCACACCTAATATCTATGGTCGGCCTGCAAAATTTGGGCTACCGATATCACATGCTGAAAATTCCATACATGTACCATAAAATACTGTGTGGAATCAAGCTGTAATCAAAAAAAGAAATATTGTTCGACTTTGCCCAAGGATTGATATCAGTTAGAGAACCATTGAAAACCAGCACTGGGGTACTGAACAGCTGTTTTCACCCCCCTAGTTAGGGAATCATCGACAGTACACACCCACTACAGGGGGTTCGAACCCAGGACCTTCCGGTTACAAGGCAAGCTTGAATACTATTAAGTCACTGGGACCCGATTCAGTGGCCAACCCATGAATTCTAACTGATATCAATCCGTGGGCAAACTCGAAAAACAAATCTAACCCTTACAAATCAACCCGTGAATAAAAAGAATAAGGGTAGAGGGGGTGAAGTTGTTCGGTTTATACATTCATGTAACGATGGCCAAGGTAAGGAAAGTAAGTGGCTGTACAAATTTCTTCTGAACCCACAGGTTTGGCTTCTTCAGGTGGATTCCTATTGTTTCAGCTGTGGTATGTAGAAGACGAACTCATAAAGGAATGTTTATTCGGATATTGGTATCTCAATATAGCCAAATTATGTACACCTTATCGTCAACGCACCATTTGCACAGAATCTTCTGTGTTGTGCTACTTCTGGTCTTCCTTCAAATTGTGTGTTTCTTTGTGTTCCTTTCATGTTATCTCCCATGTATATCCGCAACTCTGTACCAAATAATTTCTCTGGCAAAGTTAAACTTTAAGCACCACCAAATAACAATGAGCGAATGACCTCGAACACGCCAATCACGTGAAAGGGGCACTTTTGTGCATGGAATACATATATATTTATGAAATAATGCATAAAAACTGTGGAAAGGTGTTAGAGAGGATACCTTCCTCTCATATGTGATAAAAATAGCTCTGTGTTTTAGGTTGGAGTATCAACACAGTCTAATTCCATTGTGGGTGTTATGTAGTAATACTTACTGATTACGTTTCAAGCACAATTTATTGTTCAGTAAATTTTTTTATTCCTTCACGTTCCCAGTGGAACATAGGGCTTCAAGCTAGAGCCAGCTTGTAGTTTCTGTAGCAGTGTTTATTTTTACAGGATGAGGTTGCTAGCCTCATGCCCGACCTTTCCTCTTCACCAGATTTTAGTTCTGGCTTAGCGAGGTAAAGGAGTGCGCCGGCCGGGGATTGAGACTCGGCGAGCGTCCTAATCGCTATGCCACCGACGCCAGTAAATATTACTGTATAACACGATGTGAAACTTTACCCGCAATGGAATTTTACTGTACCACAGTGCACAAGTTCTATTCTTATATTATCAACAGAGTAATTTAACCACATTCTAAGCATGTAATTATTTAGGTCTTCTAACTCTAACCCTAATCCTAATCTTTCCCAAACATACCTAAACCAACCTTAATCTAACTTGAACTAACCCTAATGTTGCCTTTAATAAGTTAACCTAACCCTAACTTGTCCTTGGCTTAAAGAGTAACTTAATCTTTCCCAAACCTAAGCTGAAACTTGCTAGATATCCCATTTAATAGCATAACACTTCGATGAGGATATTTTATTGATGACAACATTATTTGCCAGGTTTCACTGACTTGCTCAGTGAGTATTTCAAGGTTATTGGTATGGTCGCGCTCCACTTGTAGTTAATGGTGCTTAAAGTTTAACTTAGCCATTTCTCTGACATCAAATGCATTTTCCTGCTATTTGATGTTTTTATGCCGATGAGCATTTCTTTACACACATATATACTACTGATAAATCTTATCAGTAGCACTCACCACAGGTTGACAGTAATTCCAAAACAAGACTTAGTAATAATAATAATTATTATTATGACCGAACAATATCTTCCTAGTCATAGAAAGCTTGCATATACTTAATACTTGAGAAGTTGTCATTGAGTTTACATTTGATTTCTTATATCTATTTTGTTTTACCCCCCTACCATTTAGCTTTTATTGCCGGAGAATGTAAAGTATCAACAGTCGACAATCTGTGATCAAGTTGATTTCCCGTTATCTTCTAAACCACCAGAAGATTTACTCAATGTAGAACGTGTGAAAATTAAGTCATTAGACGAAGTAAGTTCTCGTGTATATGTATGTATTGCATATAGCGTATTATTACGACGGTTATTTATTTTTTCCCTTAGACGTTTCGACTGGAACGTAGGGCCCTTTGTTCTCTGCATTCACTTTTCTTCTCTTATCTAGCTCTACAATTATCCATAAGATGGCATTTCCTCCTCATCACATTTTCTCCTCTCTGTCATCCTCAAAGCGGTCCCATTCAGGTTCCAGTTGTAGTCCGCATTGCACGTGATGTTACTCAACAGTGTACTCCTCAGTGTACATCCGTTCAGTTTGTTTCTATTTCCTTTGGAATATTTGTTGGGCAATGGATTGTGGGTAGTTTCGTTACCGGCCATCTAATCTTCACAGTCATCCATAGGTTACGCGGGAATTGTGTCATCCTACTATGGGGTTTTATCGGTATCACAGGTTCGTCACTCCACTGGGGATGGTTGAACCCCAACCTTTAAAAATTTAAACCCATTGCTACCGAAACTAAAAAACAACTCTAGCTTGAAGCCCTATGTTCCACTTGGTGGAAAATGGAATAAAATAAATAATTTTATGTGGTGGGAAAAGTTTTAGACGTGAAACGAGTAACTTACTGTGTGATAGGAAGTAAGTAAGCGGTTCTTTTTATACTTTCTATCAATTGTCATTATTTCTACTTGAATTTTAATCGTACATTTTTATTCTTATTGATAGTAGTATCAATCTAGACTTACCAAATAAGAAGATGTAATCTGTCTCCTTCGTGTAATGTATTTGCACGACACATTTCAAACAATCTGATGACACACGGACTTGTCGTATAAAGATATATGTGTGAAAATAATAGAGAGTTAAGAGGTGAGAAGAGTCGGTGGCACAGTGGTATAATGCTCGCGGACCACGCCTCACTGGTTCGGGGTTCGATCGCTGGCCGACTGACGCACTCCTTTACCTCGCTAAGCCAACAAAAGGAATGGTAAAGAGGGAAGGTTGGGCATGAGGCTAGCAACCTCATCCCTTAAAAATAAACACCACTGCTACCAAAACTTCAAGCTGGCTCTAGCTTGAAGCCCTATGTTCCACTGGAAACGTTAGGGAATAAAATAAGAGGTGAGGACATATTGAAGGTCAAAAAATAACAATGAAGATCACTAAACCGACTAACAGAGGTAATAGTACATCTACCCTGGCTGGTATCAAAACAAAGTTTACCAAGGAAGGTGGTTTAGTGTGGTGACAAATTGTTGCTTTGAACGCATAAAGGTGCGTTAAACTTCCTAGTTGCCAGCTAGGGCTTCCACAAACTTTAGGATACGCCCTCCACCAAACACGTTCTATGGATAGGTTTAAAAGACGTGTGTAAACATCAATTTTATGTCCTGTCTCCTCTGTAATATGTTTCGCAATAGAGGAGCTAGGTCTCCTGTTCTCACCATTAATTAACGGGTTTTTGGGATTCTTTTTGCTTCTGAAGCCAGCCCTTACTTTCAGAGGTGAATGAGTTCTCCCTATATATGTGTGTCCCTACGTACATTCAAATTGGTAAATACAGTGGGTTGTGACAACATTATTATTGTTATCATTATTACGGTTTTGCGTGTGTGTGTAGAGAGATTCCGATTAATTTCACTGTAGAACTTCGTCACGAACCAACATAAGTTAAAGGTCATTGATTTCTCTACCGAATCGATTGCATGAATGTTCTCAAGTTGTATTAAGAACTTGTGGCCAGTGGTGATGATGGTGGGGTTCCACCAATTTCAAGTGAAGACATTGGTTGAAGATGGCGCTACTATGTAGCACGAATTGACAAAGTTAAAATTCACGGGTTATCGAATTCTTGGCCGAAGTGTGACTGTGAATAGTCAACAAGCTTAGTCTCGTGACACTCTGAAGGTAGGTAGGTTCAGGGTTCGATCCCTAGTGATGTTAGGTCGTGGGTGTGAACTGTTGAAGAGTGCTGAACTAGGGTGAACCTGTCGTATTCAGTGCGCCCTACTGGTTTTCAATGGTTCTTTAACTGATATTGCTTAGTGACGAAAGTATACATTAAAAATATTATTGTTTTCTTTTCCCTATGATTGCGTAGGTTGGTCAGATGGTATTTCAAGGCATAAAAGAATTGAATTTAATCCAATCTGTGGTCTATCCAACTGCCTATCATACATCAGAGAATCTTCTGGTCTCAGCACCAACTGGTGCCGGCAAAACAAATGTTGCTTTACTGACAGTTGTTCATCTTCTACGTTCACATATGAAAGGTGATAATGTATTAGATTTAAAAGCTTTTAAAGTAAGTGATAAAAATTTGTGTGTATTTGACTTTTAATCAATGAGTCATGATGAGAACTCCCCATGATCTACCTCAAATCTGAGAAACTACAAGTCGTAGTATCCGAAGTCTTCATATAAGTATGAAACTTTGGCAGTGTGGTAGAGTATAACTCCATTATAGATAAGATTTTATTTTGATAGAGTCTCACAGTTTTATACAGTAATATTAACTGATGATCACTTTCCAAGCACAAACTATTGCTCATAATCATATCAAGGCACTGCTCACACAAGTTTTTACTTAATTTATATGCATTGAGTAAAAATGGTCATTAGACACTTGAATAAATTCACTATAAGATAAAGTAGATTCAGAAATAATAATATTGGTGTTATAAATCAAATACAATCAGATGGGTAAGGAGATGTTTTTATAGTAAAATAAATAAGTAACTTGTTAGAATGTCATAATGTGAATTGAAATACATTTCAACACTATCTATTATCCTCTGATTTGACTTGTGGTAATAATATCTTCCATATCTGTGGTATTTGCATTGAGTCATTTCTGTTGCATGTGTTGGGTGTAGATTCACTCGATGAACCAGGATTCAGTAATCAACCTCTCTCCTCTCTCTCCACCTACCTATATTACTTTTTAGAATTTTAACCCTATCCCACCCTATTGTGTGGTTGTGTGTTAATGCATGCAGTGCATTTGCTGAGTGTATTTTCTAAATTACTTATCTTCTCGGGGTCAATCATTCTAACCTTAGCTAAAGTCTTATGTTCTGATAATCCCACTACTCGTGATCTACTAGTTTCACCGATGTAAAACAAGCAACAAAGGTTAATAAAGCAGGATTTAATGAATTCATCAAAATTCGGTAGAACTCGTCAGCTGAATACTCTACATACACGGATATATACACTTTTGAAATTACATTGGGAGATATAAAAGCTGATAAGTAAACAAACTACAGTGAATTAGTTATGAATTCATTAAATCCTGCTTTATTAACCTTTATTGCTTGTTTTAAATTCACCGATGTAGTTGATCCAACTCACAGTCCGTGCGAGGTATTTTGTAAATTATATTATTTTGTCTAATTGGGTCAACCTACTGGATCCTTTAACCTACAGAGCTCGTCCTACCCGAGTAAGTTTGTAGGTTTAAATGCCACCATCCTAATTCCTGCTTCATTGAGAATCCTGCGTAGGGATGGTCTCAGATGTCTCCTCCTTATATGATAAAACTCTGTCCCACTTATTGTATTTTATTGATTACACTAATATTATTATTTCTGAATGTACTTTATCTTATATTGATTTTTATTCAAAGGTCTAATCATCAATTCCACTCATGTATATAAATGAAGCAAGAAAGTTATGTGAGTAGTGCCGTGATACGATTATGAGCAGGCATAAATTGTGTTCGAAACGTTGTTATCAGTAAATATTACTTAGAGTATAAAATTTTATCCATAATGGAATTATCTGAAGTTTTCATTATTGGAGTATCTTACGTACTGTGATTGAGGATTGATTAATTATTATTGGATCTGTGAATTGGGCGGTTTCTTCTTATGAAAGTGATGATATTAGCAAAATGTCTCAGGAAGTCTCATTAGCCCGAATATGTATGTAGTTGTTGGTGATATAATCCACCCAACCAGGTGGTGTACCAATTGATACCAACCCAACACAGATATCCTTCATCCCATGACACCGCTTCATAGACTGACCACCTCTCCGCGTTTTCTATCCAATCCTAGGAATAGCAAACAGAGACGAGTACGGCGGCCTCTGAGATGAAATTTGTAGTGTAGAAGATGCCACTCAGTGACTGGTGACCTTTGCTTTTCAGATGAATTCCGATAGCCTCTACTGTATGCGTAAAAGTAGTACTCATAAACGCACGCAAGTTGAATTGGGTGAAATACGATAAATAACTTTAAAAGCTAAGTATAGTTTTATTCGAACCTTTGTGAACTTAGGGGGGGTGGTGTTCAAGAATACGATGATGAACTTTCCTGATCGTAGGCCCACCCAATATAACTAATTCCATTGAGGAGCAGTTAAACTGATAAATACACATATGGTAGGGGCGAAACAAGGCAGTTGGTCTTTATTTCTCGAAATGAATATTGGTTGGTTGGCTAGTGATGAACCGACAGGATAACTCAGCTATGTTAAAGTTCCTTTTGAAGAGCCTTTTCACATGACGTTATGATTCGGACTCACTGCTCACACCTTACCGATTTACTTTTTTGTCAGTTGAATGGTATGGTGAACTAGACTATATTGAGGATCGGTCTAAGTGGCAAGCTGGTTACTTATTGAATTAATTTTGTTTTACTCATATTTATTTTTTATTATTTATTTTAATTTTTCTAGATTGTATATTTGGCACCAATGAAAGCACTTGCAGCTGAAATGGCTGATACCTTTTCAAAACGTCTTAGTCCTTTAGGTGTACGTGTTAGAGAGTGTACTGGTGATATACAGCTGAGTAAACAAGAAATACTTGAGACACAGGTATGTTACGTAATCGGTTTTATATAAAAATTTACCATAAGATAATATGGGCTTATATATGTTTATATTGTAATCTAATGCAATTCAGTCACCAAGTACATATTTTTCTGCTCTATCGGGGGTTCAGCGGCAGAACGGTCGCCAGCCATGACACACGTGGTCTGGGGTTCGATCCCTGGCCGACGAACTCACTGCTAAGCCTTTCTAAGCCGGTAGTAAAGCCGATAAAGAGGGAAGTTTGGGCGTGAGACTACAACCACCCCGTAAAGCTGATAAGAAACCACTGCTACAGGAACTTCAAAGCTCTAGCCTAAAGCGCTATGTTCCACTCGGGACGTAATGGAACGAAATAGACTGATAGATTCCATCTGGTAGCTGAGACCTCGGTGACCTGTTGGCTGAGAATGGTCAATGGATTCTCTTCCCCCTCCCCTCACCCCTCCGATAACCTAAATCTCCTGGATTCGATTCATTGTATGGGCTTGTAGATGCGAGCTGCCTACGAAACAGTTGTCTAGTGCCTCAAAGTTTTCAGAATTTGTTTTTCAATTTGATATCGATTTGTGATGAAATCTACTGTGAAGACATTTTAAATCCTTCTACAAACTGAAAGTACCTTATGTTGTTATTATAATATTATTCCCTTGGGTTCCAAGTGAAACATAACGCCTCGATTGCACATCTCCACTTCGTTCTTTTCTCTGAAGACCTTTTTAGCTGGCCTGACATGACCGCCTTCGTGTCACCCTCTAAGCGATGCCCAACTTGCCGTTTCTCAATCGGATTCCAGTCAAGCGGATGACTTGGCGCGCGATATCACCTAACGGACTCCTCGGCATATGTCCAGTCCATCTCCATTTTCTCTGGCATATTTATTGAGCAATAGGTTCATTACTCGTCAGAGTTTCTTATTGCTGATTCTCTCTAGCCATCTTATCTCCAATATGGAAGGAGGGGAGCTGCTGATAAAGGTTTGCAGACTGTTGGAAATGCTTTCCGTCTCGCGGCGAGAACGGTATTGTAAATTTACAGTAGTGAACAACTGTTTCATCCCAGTGTGGGACTCTTCAGTGGTACGCACCTATGATCCCACCGCCTAGGATCGAATCCGGGACCTTAAGGTTACGAAGTAGGTCCATTCAATGATTCAAGTCCTGCCAGTTTGCGATTTATAGCACCATCACTAGCCAATGTCATCGGTAAGTGTTTTTCCTCACACCCAATCTGTTGGAGCCCACTAGTCACGATATCTCACCAGAGCTCCGAACAACCTCACCATGTATTCAGTTATTAGTGAGTTATAAATTAATTTTCAAGTGTCGGTTTTCAGGAGGATTTCATCGATTTCAGCGTAGATATCAATCACTAACTGCCTTCAATACTCTCCTTAGCCGTTTTTCCAATGTCCCTCTGCGATTAAAATCAAAATCATACGAAACAACAGATGTGAATGTTTTTCAGGTCTTGTTCAAGGCGGACCATTGGAAAGGGGGAGTATAACAAATTTAAAGAATAAATATCTTCAGAGGGGTTCATCGATAAATATTCTAAAGAAATAAACCCTAGCAAAAAAATCCCTACCATCAGTTTCAAAGGAGATGATGACGTACAAGAAGTATTCAAATGAAGGCTTGATAAAGAACTTAATATGCTGCAGAACGCGTGTTGCTTAACACCATCAAGTGTGTGCTTCAAAAATCTAGGAAAGACCAGTATTCGCCAATCCTCGACACATCAAACTGCTGCATACATTAATTTGAGTGTGTTTATGAATTGAAACAGGTACATAGTTCGTACGGAAAGGCGATTGTCTACCCGCACGACAAAGTATTTGCCTAAATGGTTGAAAAAAAGTTGAAATCAAATTACCACAAAGTTCAGGAATAAAGCATTTTGGTTGGAGGATTTCATCATGAGCTGACATCAGTTAGAAAACCATTGGAAAACCACCTGGGAGTACTGAAGAGCTGTTTCGTGTTAGTTTGGGCCTCTCCATCAGTACGCACCCACCACCAGTGTTCGAACCCAGATCCTTCTGGTTACAAGGCGAACTCGTAGACCATTAAGCTACTGGGACCCGATCCAATGGCCAGCGCATGAATTCTAACTTCTGCCAATTCATGATATTGCGCGACTACTTTGCAATGTCTTCTTCGATGAGTTATTGCCTCACCTTCAACCTGCTGCACCCTACTGGTCACGGCTTCCCATTAGAACCCCACCCAGGTAACTGCCTGAATAGGACCATTCGCTAGTGAGCATCAGATGAATTTTCACGTATTCTTTTTTGTAGGGACTTAGTTTGATTGGTTAGAGGATTTTATCATAAAAACTTGGTGAGGTCATCATGCTGAAGAGTCCCAAACTAGGACGAAACAGCTGTCCAGTACTCCCAGTAGGTTTTCCAATGGTTCTCTAACTGATGTCAGCTCATGATGAAATCCTCCAACCAATCAAATCAAATCCCTACAAAAAAAACAACCAATACTTGATAAAGCATTTTGTAGACTACGGACTTAATATTGACGCACTGTCAAGTCATTCACTGTTGTTATCAACAGACAAACAAATGGAAACATGCTTGCATTTGTGGAGGTTCGTTCAATAAGAAACAGGTCTGTAAACCCTGTCTCTTTGTGTACAAGAGGAAATGGTTGCCACTCTGAATCTACCATGGTAATATGTCTTATTAACTAATTTTTATTATTTATTACTAGAAGTGTTATTCAGTTTGCAATTCTTGATGTATTCAAGTTCTTTCTCTGGTAACTGGTTGTTTATTTAGATGATGTAACTGAACTCTAATGCATTTGTATCTTAATTTTAATTTATCAGACTCACTTGTGCCTTATCTGTCTGAACATGATCTGAAAAATATTCACACTTGTCGTTTTTCACGACGGATTCAATGTAGTTTGTTTACATTTCAGTTGTCTGATTATCGTCACGAAACAACATCAGTTTCAGACATCATTGGAAATCAGCAGTGAGCGGCTGTTTCGTCCTATTTCGGGACTCTTTACCAGTACGCACCCTCTGTGACTCAAACCTAGGACTATCCGGTTATAAACAAATGATATTAACTCGTGAAAATTAATTTGATTCTCACTAGGAGTTGTCTGGAGTTCTAGTGAGAAGTCGTGATCACTAGGGTCCACCAGGTAGGTGGGGTGTGTGAAAAGAGATACTCACTGAAGACATTGTCTGGTGCCAGTCGCGCTAAAGTCATGAATCGGTAGAAGTTGGAATTCATGAGTTATTGGATTCCGTGACAAGCGGCTGAATGGTCTACGAGCTCGCCTTCTGCCCGGAAGGTCCTGGGTTGTGGAACTCTAGTGGTTGTGTACTTCTGAAGAAGTCGTCTCAAACTAGGACAGATCAGCTGTTTACTGCTACTTCTCTCTTGTGATTTCCAAAGTTCCTCTAACTGATGTCAATCCGTGGCCATAACTAATACTACTTTTTTTCTTATATTTTAGATGCTTGTTAGTACACCAGAGAAATGGGATGTTATCTCTCGTAAAGGGACTGGTGATGCTACTCTAGTGAAATTAGTTAAACTGCTTATCATCGATGAAGTTCATTTGTTACATGAAGATCGTGGTGCTGTTATTGAAGCTTTGGTGGCAAGAACATTACGTCAAGTAAGTTAATACCGAGTCTTTCTTGTTTAACTATTTTTCATTTTTCAAAAGAATAGTTACCGAATAAAGAATATTCTTTTCGATGACCTGAATCAGTATCTTGGTCAGACTACGGGTTTCATTGTTCATTGACACAATTTTATTATCTCAGCAGTAACAATGCGTCGAAAGTTCAGTAGTAGAATGTTGGCCATCCAACACACCTACTCTGGGTTCGATTCCATACCGATGCACCTGTAAACCGCTTCCATAAGCAACCAGGTTCAGCCGAGGTTTGGTAGAATTCCTCACGCAGTGCTCTCATGCGGTCAGGGTATCCGTAACCTCTGCCAGGTTATTATTTATTTATTTAAACGCAGAAAAACTTGGTACAATATGGCACCAAGAAAGATGCACCACACAATAATAATAAAACAACATAGATTAAAAGTAAAAATATAGGTAGAGAACGGATAAAGAACTTCATCAGGAAGGAAAACAGTCATGTTTAACAAGTTCAAACAGTATTCATGAACTATCATCAGGAAGGGAAGAAAGAAGGAAATTGCAGCACCTTTTCGCCATTGATTACGATTCTTGGCCATATCCGATAACGTTTCGAGCCATCGATTTGAGCTATCTCGCGGACCCCAACCAGGGAGTCGTGACACACCAACCGATGCTAATCTAGCACAAATATCCTTCATCCCACGACGCCACGTCATGGACTGACCACCCCTCCACCTTTTTCATCCCGTCCCAGGGCTAGCGAACAGAGACCTGTACGGAAGCCTCTGGGATGACATTCGCAGCACATGTCCAAGCCACCGGAGCTCGTGTTTCCAGATGACAACACTCAATGAATGGTGATCTCCACTGTTCTTGAATGCGAGTCTCCGAAATGCAGCAGACATCGATAGCGAGGCTTTCCAACGTTCTTACCAACCCTGCCTGTTGTCCGATTTGCATCAGCGTCCGAACATTGTAGGTGGCCAGCTTGAACGCGGCACGCGGTTTCAGGATATCTGTGTTAGATGTCACATTGGGGACAGCCATTTTGAGGGTTACTCACTAACATCTCGTAACGACACAGATAGGCTAGGAATCCAAACAAAGGCGAAAGGCTATCGGAGGTTGAGAAGTCAAGGTGAGCAAAGGTAAAATACAGGAAACTAAGTATAAAAATAAAAGTAAGGTTGGAAAGAGATATATCAACTGGGACATCATTATTGCTTGAGAGCATTGTTAAGAGCGCGCGATGAGTTTCACTGATAGTTTGTTGGTTCATTTAATTAATTGTAGGTAGGCCAGGTAGGCCGCATTCACTGATTTCACGTGGCTGGAGTTTTTTTCTCACAAAAGTGAAATGATGGCTATGAACATCTGGCACCTACAATCGTACTGGTAGACGTGAAGGTTATCTATCTAGGGAAGCTGGTAAACTCAAATTCCAAACGTATGTGGTGTACATGAGCTCCAGAATACCGTATAAGCCTGTTTTGGTCACAGGGAACGTAATTACTGATAACGGGTGATGCACTACTTTGTAGATCGTTCTTCAAGTCAAAGACCCTTAAGCAGTGCACACTCATCAGTGAATCCACCGCCTTTCAAGTGATGATAAACGGAACCCGTAGTCCATTCAGCTGTAGGAACAAAATCGAAGGATTCATGGATTCTAGGTTCTAGTTTTCCGTGACGTTTGTGTGTGCGTCGGTGGCACGGTGATAGAATGCTCACCAACCACGCAGGTGGTTCTGGGTTCGATCCCCGAAGTCCGTAGCTTAAAGCCCTATGTTCAACTAGGAATATATATATGTATATATATATATATACATATATATATATATAGAACCACCGTTTCTATATCGATTTATTATTGATTTTTTCTTTTTTTTCAGGTTGAAAGTTCACAAACAATGATACGGCTAGTTGGTCTATCCGCCACACTACCAAACTATATAGATGTTGCTCGTTTCCTTTGTGTTAATTTACAACGTGGTTTATTCTACTTTGATTCACGATTTCGACCAGTTCCCCTTGGAATGTCATTTATTGGTATACGTGGAGCTAATCGTAAAGTACAAGATGTGAATATGAGTTCAGTGTGTTATGATAAGGTTTTAGAACAAGTGAAAAAAGGTGAACAGGTGAGTTTATGCTGTTTAATTGAATCACTTTGTAGGAATGAAACACCTACTCGGTTTATTTGTTTCGATTTTTTTCTGGCTTTCCGAGTGGAACTTTGAAGTTTTCAGTTACGGCAGTGGTGTTGCTATTATCATGTCTAATCTGCTCGCTTTTCCAAGATTACTGTTGACACTAATAAACTGGACTGACGAGAATAGAACTAGAGACTCTAGCTACTTGACTGGCAAGCACTTCTACCATTGAACCAGCGGCATACTCCATACATAAAGACACCTTGTGTGGGTAGTGGGAAGACAGGAATACCCTGGAGGGATAGGAAGACTCGGAACTTCGTGGATGATTTATGTCGAATGTCATGTAAACTATAAGATTTTTAAGCGAAAACCAACAAGTTTGTAGGAGAGGCTTAGGCAGAGAAGGTAGAAGTTCAAGTGAACATAATGAAGACGACAACAAACACCAATCAGTATCATTTATCTTGGCATCAGCGATGAGGATTGGAAAGGCCTAGCTACACCTTCAGCAATCTGGCAAATGTCAGCTGCACTAGACATAGAGAACAAAATTGGAGTTTTCAACACCAATGTTAAGTCAGTCAGTTCTATATGCATCAGAATCTTGGCGCGTTGTGGAAAGCATTCTCGGCAGGTTGCAGACCTTTATCACCAGATGTCCCCTTCGCTGGCTCCACACTGAATATCAGATAGCCAGAAAGAAGTAACAACATGTAACTCTGGAAACGAATCAAGCAACCTAACCGTCCATTAGTACATCTGTGATGAAATTAAATAGAAATGAGGACAGTTGGCATCTGTGATGGACACCACTAGTTGTCACCACTTCAGATGACAACTCGCCGTAGGCTATCACCTGGCTGAGTGCATGAGTTCGAGTAGAGTGCCTTGATCAGTGCAATGTATGTTCTCGGAATTCCGTTCACAGCCAAACATTGCCATGGTATCTCTCGTCGACGGAATCGAAATGCCGCTTTCAGGTTGAGAAATATGACGATTGTTGGACGCCGGTAAGTAAGCCATGTTCAAGAATCTGTTGAAGGGTGAAGATGTGATCAATACACCCACTTCCTGGTTTAAAACCCGGCTGGTTCTCTTGTGTTTTTCCTCCCGAGCATCGCTTAGTCTACACATGATTATTGAGCCTGCCGAGTGCAGTGGATGTCCACACTTATTCCATAGTAATGAAGATCTGTCTCGCTTTTTTGATCTTGACTGTCTTTGACATCTTCATATGTGTCATCTGTAGTTGAAACGATGGTGTCTAGGCAAGTGAAAGGAGAAATCCCATACCTGAACATTAGTCAGGTATGTGTTTGGATCGTAATGCTTACTGTTAAAGACTTGAAAACTAGGATGAAGTAGCTGTCTCCAGTACTTCTTGGTTTTTTTCAAAGGTTCCTTCTGATGGTTTCGGTTATTGATGAAGTCCATGTTACATATACATATTAGTTCCTTGGATTCCAAGGGGAACTCAGAGTCTCACCAGCACATCTCCACTTTGTCTTGTTCTCTGCAGTTGTCACTAGCTGGCGCCACGACTAACCATAGTCTCCCATTTCTTCCTCACATGACCTCCTAGACACAACTCGTCGTATTCTATTGGATTTCTACTTGGGCCATGACCTGGAGCAGGATGTTACCCAACGGTCTTCTCAGCGTGTGTATCTGATCCATCTCCATTTTCTTCGGAATATTTGTTGAGCAATAGGTGTCACGAATAGTCTTTCCACCTAGTTACAGACTTTTGTCAACAGCTGCCCGCTTCAGTGGCTGCATACTGAAGATCGAATTACCAGCTGGCGAGAAAGAATTATTATTATTTATTGTTCCCTTGGGTTCCTAATGGAACATAGGGCTTCAGCTACACGCCTCCACTTGTTTCTGTCTTCTGGTGTATTTTTCAATTGCATCCATGTTAATCCATACTGTTTCAGTTCCTGTTCACACGATCTCCTCCATGTCACCCTTCGACGTCCCACTCGCCGATTCCCTTTCGGGTTCCACTCGAGCACTGGTCTGACGCGCGATGTCACCCAACGGCCTCCTCAGCGACTGTCCAATCCATCTCTACTTTCTCCTGCATATTTGTTGAGCGATTGGTTCTTGTTTTGTTTGTTCCCATAGTTTCTTGTTGATGATTCTTTCCGGCCATCTGATCTTCAGTATAGAGCCAGCGAAGACAGTTGTTGATAAAGGTCTGCAACAGGCTGTTGGAAATATTCTTGGTGAGCCACCAAGTTTCTGATCCGTATAGAAGAACTGACTGACTTGACGTTTGTATTGAAAATCCGAATCATTTCGTTGTTGATTTTGATGGCAGAAAGAATTAGTAACCAGAAATTATGGTTGGGAAAAAACCAATAGGCGAGAGCAGATCGCTCAACAAATATGTAGGAGAGAATGGAGATGGATCGGTTGGGCATGCATTAAGGAAACCGTGGAATGACCTCGCATGCAATGCAGGCCACTGCTCGAGTGGAATTCTTTTGGGAAGTAACGAATGGGTCATCGTTGCGAGGGTGACACGGAGGAGATCGTGTTGGGAGGAGGAAATGAGAGATTATGGACAATCGTGGACCCTGTTGAAGAGGATGACAGAAAATAGAACAAAAGTGGAGATGTGTTGTTGAAGCCCTATGATTGTTTCGTTACCTGCCAGAGTTTCTTGTTGTTCATTTTTTCTGCCTATCTAACTTCATTATGGAGCACAAGAAGTCGACATTGAAGTTATATAAAATCCTTATCAAAATCTACACTCTTGAAGTATCATTCAACACCTATGTAGATAGATATAAATTTCTTGCATTTCATTGTTTGTTTGTTTATTTTATTTTTGATCAGGTAATGGTGTTTGTTCATGCTCGTGGTGATACATTTAGAACAGCTCGGGGATTACGTACATCAGCACAACAACTTGGTCATATGATGTATTTTCGTAATGAAGATAATTTTGCAGTGAAAACGTGTTTAAAAAAGGTTAGTGAGACTGTTTCACATGGCTTACTTAATAGTAGCATAGTTAGTATCTTATTATTTATTAGTACACTACAGGCAACATATTTCATAATTTATGCAAAGGCAGAGATACTGTTCGGTCGCGCGCAGATCCTCCCTCCTTCGAGTCGATGACTTGAGGTTTGAGCCGCAAGGCAGTGAAGGAGGTACATCAGGTGATCGGTTTTTGTTGAGATTGTTGTTGACTGAAATAAGTTCGTGCATCATTTGACCCTTACACAGATTCTGGGGAGTGCACGCGAGGTTCGTAGTTTCGGGATGAGGGTTTTTTCAGCTCCAATAGGCTGATCTGCATGCCTGTTGTTAATGCCAGACGTTCATATTTAGCCTTTCGCAAGGAACACTCCTTCCATTTTTGGCGTACGTGGACTCCAAAATCCTAAAGGCCACACTGGAAACTATGGGAACGTAGCTGCTGACGCACCTCCATTGCCTTATGGATCAAACTTCAAGTGAAAGAGTCGAGGAGAGGAATAGCCTCTTAAAACAACTACCTGCTTAAGTCTGAGTGTCTGTGTAAAGGTATCTCAACCCTTACACGTTTAGGATAAAAGTTTGCTTTGATTGGACACTAGTAACTAGTGTAATATGTCTAGTCTTATCTTTGGTGCAGACTGAATTCTATCAGTCAAGCTTGTAATGTGGCCAGCATCCCACTAGGTGGCTCGCCATCATGGTGCACTGTGAATTGCTGGTATTAAATGTTTGGAGGCAATTAGCAGGAAACCTTGGACCTAGGTCTCGTGTTTATCGGCTGGCGTATCTTCATCCTTGAAAGAACTCAGACTGTTAGAATTCCTCCTGCACCAAAGATAAGACTAAACACATCACAGTAGTTACTGACTAGTGCCCAATCAAAAATATCCAATACAGCCCTACAGAAAGTCAAACGCAAGCCCGAATAACTCAGTGGTAACGTCTCTGACTGCAGCACTTGTTGACGCGGGTTCGACACGCGAAAGGGACATGAGTTCCTTCAAAGTTGCAGATACGCCTTGCTGATTGCTGAGTGCCAACTAGCACGAAACCTAGGTCAGACTGGGTTCCCTGTTGCCGATTGCCTCCAACCATCTAATATCATGAAATAATTTGCTTTATTCTAAATAGTGCGTCTATCGGCTGGGAATCGGACCTCAGGCCATTTGTATGCTGCATTATGGTGCACATATTGTATCAAGTTTGCCTCTGAATAATTAATAATAGTAGCAGTTATGTGAGAATAGATATGCTGAAGAGGGTGGGTCTCTTCATCACTGAACTGTTTCTTCTCATTTCCATATATAGATAGATATCTATTCTGCATCTAAACAAATTCTATCTTTTCCGTAAACATTTCGTCAACCTTTCAGTTTTTTCAAGTATTAGTTTTGTAGGGATTTTTTTGATTGGTTGAAGGATTTCATCATGATCTGGCATCAGTTAGAGAACCATTAGAAAACTTACTGGGAGTACTGGATAGCTGTTTCGTCCTTGTTTGGGACCCATCATCGGAAGGTCCTGGGTTCGAACCCCAGTGGGTGCGTACTGCTGAAGTAGAGTCGCAAACTAGTTGCCCAGTACTCCCAGGTTTTCTAATGGTTTTCTAACTGATGTCAGCTCATGATGAAATCCTCCAACCTTTCAGTTTTTCTTTTTGCACTTCGCATTTTGCAGTTCTTCTTTGAATATAATTTTTCAATTGTTGAAACAGTATAAAACAAAGGTTTACACCTTGCCACACTGTTTTGTACTCACAGAAATACCTCTTAACACATTCATGGTCAAACAGAGAGTAATAACCGTACACTGAAGGAGTGGCTGGCCTCCTTGAAGGGAGGTAATTGGGAGACAGAGCTTCCATTGATTCTAATAGCACATTGTAGCTCCACCCAGGAAACAACAAAGAATTCATCATTTCGGTTGATTTATTGGAGGAAACCGAGACTACCAATGTACAGCCAAACCTGGCCCCTCCATCAGGAGTGGAATATAACGAGGTCACGAAGCGAACGGAAAGACGCCGTCAGGAATGTAAAATGTAAACAGCAAAAAGACACAAGGAGAGAAGATGCGATGCAGAAAATCTGACGTCGGTGATCAAGTAAAGTGTAGAGAAAGAATGGACGCGGGTAGATGTGAACAAGGTTCACGGAAACTCCTCCCGAAGGGAGAAGGGCCATACACTGTCATTGAGAGACATAATCTCGTTTACATCGTGAAAAGAGGAAATAAACAGAAACGCGTTAACATCAGCCAACTGCAGAAATAGATTCAGTGGGATAAGGAAGCTGGGACCAAGATACAACATGAAGGGGTAGAACCAAGAAGGTCAGAACGGCTCCGTTCGAAACTATTTGATAGGGGGACGAGTGTGGCGTCTTTTACTGATAAGGCTCATCAGTAGAATATAAAGATATGTTCTTCAGCTTAAAAACATCAAATAGCAGGAAGATACATTTGATGTCAGCGAAAGCAAATGATACAGTGTTGAGGAGATACATGGGAGACGTGAAAGGAACACAAAGAAACACAATATGAAGGAAGACCAGAAGGAAGATCTGTGCAAATAGTGCGTTGAAGATAAGGTGAATATTACATAGATATACCAAATTCCGAACAAACATTCCTTTACCAAGTCTTTCGTTTTTTACCGTTATAATATGACATCGAAAAAGTTATTGATCAACTGAGAATTGTTTCAAGTTTGACCACGGAGTGATATCAGTAAGAAAACCATTGAAAACCACCAGGTTTTACTTGACACCTATTTCGTCTTAGTTTACGACTCATCTGCTCTATGCATCCACCGGGGCTCGAACCAAGAACATTTAGGTTAAAAGGCAAGCTCGTTGACCATTAACCTACATAGACCGGAATCCAACAGCCCATGAATTTTGTTGCTAGCCACTGACTGACTAGAGGACGAAGTTGCGTGGAGTTCTAGTCAGAAGTCATGATTAATGGGGTCCACGAGGTCGGTGGGTGTGAGAAGACAAATACTCGCTGTTGACATTGACTAGTGGTGGTGCTGAAATCAGGAATCGGTAGATGTAGGAATTCTTGGACTGGATGGTCTATGAGCTTTCCTTGTAAACGGAAGGTTCTGGGTCAAAACTCCAGAGGAGTTTCATACTGTAGATGAATCCCAAACTGGGAGGAAACAGCTATTCAATAGTTCCCTAACTGATATCAATCCGTACTCACACTTGAAACACACAAATCATATCCCTACAAACTAAATCTCCTTGAAAACTGTTTATTCTAATTAGACCTATTTTCCTTGTAATTGCTTTTTGTAGATACAAAAATCGTCGGATTCAGCTATTAAAGATCTAGTTCCAGATGGTTTCGCCTGTCATCATGCTGGTATGCTACGTGTTGATCGTAGTCTTGTCGAAAAGTTATTTGCTGATGGGTATATACGCGTATTAGTGTGTACCGCGACCCTGGCTTGGGGAGTGAATCTCCCAGCACATGCTGTCATTATCAAAGGTACACGTGTATATAAGGCAGAGAAATCAGATTTTGTCAATTTAGATGTATTGGATGTACTACAGGTGAGTGTATATTTGTTTGTTTGTTTGTGTGTGTGTTTGTAATAGTAATTATTTTTTTGCTGTTATGTGTTAACCTGAACGTTGTCGTACCAATGAGTTAACGTTGGGAAAACACCGGCTTTCGCCGGATATCAGAAATTAAACAACGTTGAACCTCGTGAAAGTAGTTGCATGGGTGACCGTTTGGGAATATTAGGTGTCGGCTTTCGGCATCGTCGGTGGTTCAGTGGTAGAGTGGCTTGCAAGTCACGCACGTCATCTGGGTTCCACGAGAGAACCAGGCAGGCTTTAGACCAGGAATATGGTGTATTGATCATCTCTTCACCCTTCGACAGATTCTAGAACATAGGCATACTCACCGGCATCCATCAATCGCTTTATTTCTTGACCTAAAGGCGGCATTCGATTCTGTCGACCGAGAGGTACTCTGGCGATGTCTGGCTGTAAAAGGAATGCCTAGTAAATACATTGCACTGATCAAGGCACTCTACTCGAACTCATGCAGCCAGTTGAGAGCTTACGGTGAGTTGCCATCTGGGAATAATCTCGTTGACTTAGAATATACAGATGATATAGTCCTCCCACCTGAGTGAAGACGCTGACAAAATGCAGAGTCTTCTGAGCACCTTGAAGAGCTGCAATCTGCGAATGTTTGGCATGCAATTCGCTCCCACCAAATGTAAGATGATGCTACAGGACTGGAAAACATTGACTCCTAGCTTAGAAATAGGGAGTGAAGTGGTAGAGCACGTTGACCACTTCACTTATTTGGGAAGTTGCATCAGCCAACGTCAACAGTTTGATCGCTGACGAAATCTCAGCACGGATACAGAAGACTCGTTTCGCATATGCCAGTTTACGCCGTCTCTGGCGTAGACGTGATATCCGGCTATCGACCAAACGGCGTGTGTACTGCTCAGCAGTCCGCTCCGTCCTCCTTTATGGCTGTGAGACCTGGCCATTGAGAGTGGAAGACATGGAAAGGCCGGCTGGCTGTCTTTGGTCATAGGTGCCTGCGTTCTATCTCCCGTGTGAAGTGGTATAACAGGGTGAGTAATATTGAAGTTAGGCATCGGTCGAGTGCTAGGTAAGGAGGGGAAATCAATCGACGAGGCTGTGAAATTACACCGACTGAGATGGTTAGGACATGTGTTACGTATGCCTAGCCATCGCCTTCCTCGACGGGCAATATTAGCTGACTTAGGGTCAGGTTGGAAAAGAGCCAGTGGTGGTCAAACCAAAACATGGATTCATCAGTCAATGAAATCCACAACAGTTAGTTTAAGCCAGCCACGTAGGAAGGTGTAAACTTCCTGGTTGGTGTCCTCGCGATGGTAAGAACCAATAGCTATGCCTGGAGACAATTGGTGATATGGCTGGCTCAAAAACGTTCTCGATGGCTGGCTGGCTCAGATACATCCACTCCTTGTGACTTATAATTTCCAATAAAACTATATTGTTCTTCGATATTACTATTCTCTTTGCCTCATATTCCTGTCTACTGTCTCTATTATGGATTTCTTTTTACTTTCTTCTTCTCTGGCTTTGTGTGCTGAGTGAAGTGTGGCGACTCGAACTGCTGCACATCAGTGCAAAGTTCTATGTTGAAACCAGACAGACTGAGTTCCACTCTCGTCCGATGGACGCACTGCTAATCTTGCTGAGACAATTATAAGTCTAGTAAAGAGAGAATGTTGACTTAGAAGAACATCACCGCTAGTGAAAATTCGAAGATATGAAGCTTGACCGACCACCTCAATGTTCCACTCGGCACGCAAAGGAATGACAAAAAAGAGTTTTGTGTTCAGTTGAAGTCCTAGTGATGGAATTCAATAATAATGATAATAGCACCAGGAGTACTGGACACCTGTTTCATCTTGTTTTAGGGATCTTTAGCAGTAGGTATTCATGAGTCCACTGGTGATCGACCGCAGGACATTTTGGTTCCTAGGCCAAGACCGTTGACCTTTCTTCAGCCATTTGACCTAGAATCCAGTCGCGATTCTAGCGCGACCGCTAGTGAGTGTCGTTCACTAGTGAGTACTTGTCTTCGCACTCGACTTGGTGGAACTCCACTGGTCACGACTTCTCAGATAGAAGAACTCTAGACAACTTCATCCAGTTATCAGTCAAAAATTGACAGAAGTTAGAGTTCATCGGTCATTGGAGTTTGCCTCGTAACCTGAATATCTTGGGCACAGACTAATAAAGAGTCTCAGACTAAGACGATACAGCTGTGCCCAGTACTCCCCGCTGGTCCTCTAACTGATATCAATCCTTAGTCAAATTTTACAACTTGTATTAATTATTGTTTAGACTTCTCATGTATTCCACTTGTTTTTTCGAAAATTTTTTTGCTATGGCATTTAGATATTTGGTCGTGCTGGTCGACCACAGTTTGACACATATGGTCAAGCAACACTGATAACTACTCAAGATTCTTTAGTGCATTATTTACGTTTAATAACCAATCAAGGACCAATTGAAAGTACTTTACTAGCTAACCTACATGATCATTTGAATGCAGAGGTATGTGAGTTTTTTTTTACTATTGATTATTACTATTATATTATTATTACTGCTTACTGGAATATACTACTGATTAGACTGATGAGTAGTTTGCCAACCTTTACAGTCAACCATTTAGTGTTTGCTAGCCTGATCCAAACATTGAACAACTGTGCCGCCTATTTGTAGTCGAGCTCATTAGAGATGAACATCAGGTGAACTCAGCTGAGAATCAGTTCAAATATCGTAAAACTGTCAATGTCATCAGTCATACATACTTCTCGCGACAGTTACTGATGACTACAGGTGGTTAGACGTCTTCTGGTGATTTCGCCATCAAAATAAAGTAAAAGTAGAGAGATATGCAGAATTTCAACTTAATGTGTATAGGTAGTGTCAGCATAATATAAATTTTTAGAGTTCCGCGTAGAACATAGGGCTTCAATGGCACATATCTATTTCCTTCTGTTCCTCTCAGTATAATGAATAAGCCTAACTCGCCGTTTCCCATTTGAGGTTCACTCGAGGGTTCGCCTGCGTGTAATGCTACTAAAATGGTCTTGTCAGGGTATTTCCAATCCATATCCATTTCCTTCTGCATATTTTTTGGGCCATGGGTTGGTTTTGGTTGATACGTTCCCGGAGTTCTTTGTTACTAATTCTTCATATTTATTTACTTTTATTATTCCCTCGGGTTCCGAGTGGAGCATAGGGCTTCAACAACACATCTCCACTTTGTTCTATTTTCTGCTGTCCTCTTCATCTGGGTCCACGATTGCCCAAACTCTCTCATCTCTCCCCCCCCCACACGATCTCTTCTATGTCACCCTCGCACTCACGACCTACTTGTCGCTTGGGCGATGGCCTGCATTGTCCGCGATTTCATTCGACGGTTTCCTCAATGTATGCTCGACCGATACATCTCCATTTTCTCCTACATATTTGTTGACCGATCGGCTCTTGCTCAGTTGGTTTGTTCCCATAGTTTCTTGTTACTAATTCTTTCTGGCCATTTGATCTTCAGTATGGAGCAAACCAGCGGTGGCAGCTGTTGATAAAAGTCTGCAGTCTCTTGTTGGAAACCCTTTTCGTGACACGCTGGCCAATTTTTTCACCCCTATAGAAGGACCCACTTGACGGTGGTGTTGAAATTCCGAATCTTGTTCCTTATACTGGCTGAGTGAGAGCAGAAGATTTCCAAACTGGTTCCAGGTTGATAAAGGCGTGTCTCACCTTTCCGATTCTCGCTGGTTTTGATATCTTCATCCGGTCCGACTGCCTGTGGTTGGAACCATGCTTCCTAGCTGGATATGTGAAGCAAGTGACCTCTCGCGAACCTCTCCCCTTAATGGTGATTGGTTATTATGGTTGTTGGTGAGTGGGTATCTTCATCACCTCCGTCTTCTCTATGTTAACTTGGAGTCCTGTCTTCGCTGCCTGCTTCTTCCGCCAGTTTATTGGTTTTCGCTTATAAATCTTCGAGTTTGTATGACATTAGACATATATCATCTGCGAAATCCAGATCTTGTATAATCTTATTATCTGTCCAACGTATTCCTGTCTTCTCACTCTGAAGCAGAGTCTGACTCAGAATCCAGTCCACCACAATTAAGAATATCATCGTGGTGATAATAGACGGCTTTGTTTAACTCCTGTCTTCACTTCGAACGCCTTGATGAATTTCCCGTTGTGGATCACTTGACACGTTGCATTGTCATATAGCCAGGCAGCTGTTGAATGAGGTTGATGAAGACTTGAGGTACGCCATAGTGTTGCAGTAGTTTCCAGGTTACTTTGCGGTCAACGCTGTCTGTTGAAGGTCTTTTCGAAGTCGATGAAGTTGAGGTAGAGAGAGGTTTGACTGGCATTCTATGCTTGGTTCGATGATGGTGGTGTGTAGAGCTGCGATTTAATCGGCACATGATTTGCCTTTCTTGAACGCAGGTTTTCCAGTGGGTAAAGTTTTGAATCCAGTGCGTATTTTAATCTCTCCAGGATGAAATCCTTGATGACTATCTGAATTTCAGTGTAAAGAGTAAAGACAGCTGTTGATGAAATTTTCCAATGGCCTGTTGGCTGCTGCTTTTTGTTGACACACTGAATAGTCTGTGAAGCATACAGAAGCACTGACTGACTTGACATTAGTGTTAATAACTCGAATCTTGTTCTTTATACTGCGTGCGTTCGATTTCTAGACTGATTTCAAACTAATAAAGATCTGTTTCGCCTTTCCAATCCTACCTTTGAAATTTTCATCCGTCCTGTCTGTAGCTGAAATGATCTATCCTGCTTAGGTAAGTGAAAGATATCAAAGCTAGCTAAAAGCAGTGTGGAAATGTACTCTATTCAGTAGCTCTGATTGGACACTAGCCAGTAACTAGTGTGATATTTCTAGTCCTTTCTTTAGTGCAGACTAAATTTTATCAGTCAAGTTTTCAATGTGGCCACCATTCTAGGTAGCTCACCATCACGGCGCACAATCGTGAACCCGAATAGCTCAGTGGTAACGTCTCTGACTGCAGGCAGCACCGTGTGACGCGGGTTGGAATTTCAGAGAGTTGGGACATGAGTTCCTTCAAGGTTGCAGATAGGCCTCGCTGACTGGTGAGTGCCAACTAGCGCGAAACCTAGGTCAGACTGGGCTTCCTGTGGCCGATTGCCTCCAACCATCTAATATCAGCTAGAAACTCTGACAGGCAGCGAATCAACCAAGAACCTGGTAGTCAACAAATATGCAAAAGAAATTGGAAATGGACTGGACATACACTGATGATGAAACCATTGAGTATGTGACATTACAAGCCAAGCGAGCCGTCAAATTCAAACTGAATGGGAAACAGCGAGTAGTTGGGAGAGAGAGAGTTAGAGGGTGATGTATGCAAAAGATTGTATGAAGAGGAGATGAAAGCCTCCTATGGAAAGCTGAGAAGCCATTTGAAGGGAATAATAATAATAGTGTCATATATCTTACCAAATCGTTCTCAATTTTTTTTCTGTTATGTTCCCCAGTGTAACATAGGGCTTCAATCTAGAGGCTTGAAGTTTCTTTAGCAGTGTTTATTTTACAGGATGGGGTTGCTAGCCTCATGCCCAACCTTTCCTCTTCACCAGCATTATTTCTGGCTTAGCGAGGGAAAGGAGTGCGTCGCTCGGAGATCGAACCCCGGACCATGTGCATGGTTGGCGGGCGTCCTAACCGCTATGCCACCGACGCACACTGGTCCGGCGAGGTGGACCAGTTGGCCAGATCGATATTACTTGCTGTTTGCGTAGGGATAAAAGTACATGAAATATATTAACTTTGAGTTATAAATAATAGAGAGAAGACCAGTAGTTCAGCGAAGAGTCTTTTTCGGCGAATTCATTTTCACAGCTGTACAATTACAAATATATATATATATATATATATATATATAGGTTATTTTGTATGTGTATTAAATTTGTCAAACGAAAATACAATTAGTAAGTTTTTGGCGGAGTTACGTAGTACTGAGGGCGTTCAGATTAATTGGATGTTTAAATAAGAGGGTAGTAACAAAAGTGATCAGTTGTCACAAACGATTGTTAAAGAAGAGTTACGTATTAACATGAATAGTTTGATGAAAGAGTTGTGCTCAGGGTATACATGGAAACAAAATAAAGTGCGGAATTACGTAAAAGTTTTAAGAAGTTAGAAAATCAAGCAAACAAGCGAAAATTAAGGCACATCAACAGAGTTGTTCCCAGGATGATAGTAGAGGTGGTTGAATAATTTTCTTTTGTATGCATAGTTCTGGTTCTTCTAACTGAATGGCTAGGGCTTCTGGAATGCAAAGAAGATGGAAACGTATTATCTTTGGCAGGTTATTCTTCACTTTGTAGATTATTTTGAAGGAGGCGTTTGTTGAGATGGAATGACCAGTGTTGACGAGATGTTCGACTATTGCACTCCTTATACGGCTACTACTTCCTTTCTGCAACCACGCTGGATAGTGTTTTTTGACCCCTTTTGACAGGATGTGCGTCGAATGACCGATGTACCTGACTCTACAGCAACAGGTGAACTGATATATACACATAGAAGTGGTCAGGTGCGGGATCTTGTCCTTTGGGCTTCTGCAGATCAGTGGGAAACTGGAGAACACTCTTGTATTCCTTTAAGACTCTTGCGTAATTCAGTAGGTTATTTTGTTTCCATGTGCACCCTGAGCACAACTCTTTCATCTAACTATTCATGTTATTATGCAATGAATTCGCCGAAAAAAGAGTCTCTTCGCTGAACTACTGGTCTTCTCTCTATTGATGTTCGAATGGGTATTTTTCATCAATTATAAATAATAAACTTGTTAATGATTTTATCTGCTGAATTTTTAAAAATCTTTTGTTTCTTTTTTTGGGATGGGGGTGGCGATGGGTGATCTTATAGATTGCTTTAGGTACTGTCTCAAATATTGATGAAGCTGTCACTTGGTTGAGTTATACCTACCTATTTATTCGTTTAAGACAGAATCCTCTTCAATATGGTTTAACTACAGCTATACTCGAAGTAAGTGCCTCATTTGTTTGTTCTTTTATTTTTTGGTTTTGATTATCCTTCACCTCTCTTTGTCTACTACATTTTATTTCTTAATTACTTTAAATATTAAGTCTACTTTTTTAATTCGATAAATGCAAAGACGAGTATTCTGTTATGACCGGAACTATGACCTAGTAGACTATGGGGGAATACAACAACAACAACGATAAAACCGCCGGGCCGCAAAAGGACAGAAGAGAAGACTGGACGTTAGTAAGAGAGCTCTTACTATCTCGAAAACCATAGTCGGAGAAACGTGGACAGCGCTTGCGCATATCTGACTATGTTTAAAATAACCTTGAGAAGCATTAATGTCATTGGTGGATTATGACAGTGAACAACCAATAGGATTTCAGAGGTCGTAATTGGGCTGAGAGAAAATTAGGCCTATAAATCCATAAGTGGAGTGAGAGAAATACAAACAGACATGTAGAAATGTAGGTCTATATATCATATTCTAATCTTGTAAGATTACTGAAATCTTTCAGATTGACACGTCGGAGACAAGGAAAACCAATGGTGTACTGGTGCTGTTGGTGGCTTGATGATAATATGCTCGCCAACTAACCATGCCAACAGGTGTCCAGGTTGGTTGCCCATCTGGTGGCATCCTGTGATACCCTACCAAAAGTTTTTTTTACTACCCAATGAAAGAACTTTTCACAGAAAAGTGGTAGGAGTTCAAGTTGCCACATTCCATATAGCGCACAAAGGGAAACAAATCAGAGACAAAAAGAGATTCTAAAAACGGTAATAAGAAGAAATGTAAGGGAGAAAGAATAGTACCATGGAAAAAGCGATCACGTATAGCTGATTTGGTAGAAATTACAAAGGGTGAATGCATCTACACCAGCCCTTGGGAACCAACTGTCTCAAAGATTTCATGAACTGATGAAACCATGTTTTGGTTCAACCAACACTGGCTCTTATCTCCAACTTGATGCATCCAATGTAAGCAGCTAACATTGGCCATTGTCGAAGAAGGCTATAGATGATGGCTTGGGATTGATGCATGTGTAACACTTGTCCTAACCACGTAATAACACTCAATGCCTGAGCTCAATATGTGCGTCGGTGGCACAGTGGTTATGGCTCTCGCCGACCATGCACATGGTCCGGGGTTCGATCCACGGCCGATGCACACCCGATATCTATGGTCGGCCTGCAAAATTTGGGCTACCGATATCCATGCTGAAAATTCCTTACTTGTACTAAAACTACGGTGTGGTATCAAGCTGTAATCAAAAAAAATATTACTCACCCTATTATGCCACCCTTAATATACGGAAGATAGAACACGCAGACACCAGTGATCTATGACTTCTAACCTTTTCATATCTTCCACTTTCTATGGATACTTTGGTCTTCTCGAAATGCTCTCATGTAGCCAGGGTTGCCTTCATAGCCTGTATTAGGTAATTTCTATTAATGTAGCAAGGAACTTCGTCATAAAAGTGAAAAGGCGAGCGTGAACGACCGGTGGTGGATATGAAGGTCTACCTAAAGTAGCTGGGAAACCTTGATTGCTGACGTATGTAGTGTAAATCAGCTCTAGAGTCCGAAACGAGGATCGAATGATGTGTGAACCTGTTTTGGTTACCAGAAACCATGAAAGCGTAGCTCCTAACGCTCATCCACTGCCTTGTGGGTCAGGCTTTAAGTTCAAGGCTCAGAAGTTACTGGTTGGAGTCGTTGAGTTGCTGAGAAATAATAGCTGGAGACAATCAGTGATTCGGCTCAAACTCGTCAATGGATGGCGCATATGCAGTCACTCAGTGTGTGATACGCTGCCAATATGCAATAAGACCCTATTGTTTTTCCATGTACCTGTTCTTTTTTCCTTCACATTTCTGCTTGTTATAGTTTTTTTCGAATCCTTTTTCTTTTCTCTCTTTTGTCCTCCCTTGTGTGGGGTGTGTGTAGTGGGGTGACTCGGACTGTTGCACTTGTGTGCAAATTCTCCTATGCTGAAAGCAGTCAGTCAGCATATTTTCTGAGCACAATAGGTGTTGTTGGCTGGCACCACCACCTGCCAGAATTCGTTGTTACTGCTTGTGCTAATCCATAATATTTTCGTTTTAATCTAGTGAATTTCTAGGTAGGGTGTAATATGAAGTGAGATAATGATTTCAGGCTTTTGAAGTTGAATTTTACCGGAATTAACAACCTTGTCAGCTAACAACTGGTTAGTACTACCACATTCTGTTACAGATGAATTCTCTCTTTCGGGGTGATTCTATGGCACTATCCCTTATTTTCAAGTGGCTCCACTTGCTTTATCTGGTGGGTATTAGGTGGTTTCAATAAATAAGCCATAATATATTAGTAGGAATTCATGGAAATTCAGTAGTGTACGCATAACTTTTAAATCTGCTGTCTCCTTTAATCCCTATTACATTGCTCAGATATCAGTATGAAGGCGGATTTTTTGATAAAAGTGTAGGTAATGTAATGCAGTTCAAGAATATAGTGCAACCGATAATACGTACTCCAGTAGAAAGTTTTCAGGGATTTGATTTGACTGGTTACAGTATTGCATTGTGAGCTAACATCGATTAGAGGACCATTGGAAAACCTGCAGGGAGTATTGGACAACTAGCTGTTTCCTCGTAGTATGCATCCACCGGGTTTCGAACCCAAGACCTCCTAGTTATAAAGCATATTCGTAGACCATTAAGCTACTGGAACCCGATCTAATGGCTAGCCCATGAATTCTAACTTCTGCCAATTCACGATATAGCGTGACTGGCACTAGCCAATGTCATCATTGGTGAGTATTTTTTATGCGAAATTTCATTTTTAAAAGCACGTAAAAGGATATAACTTGTCATTAAACCACCATAGCAACGGACTGTGGCGCTACAATTAGCGGGGTTGTGCAATAAAGCCAATCCTCTGTTTTTTTAGCTTCAAAGAAGAACAGGTGAAGTTCTTTTTGGGTAGAGATTCCTAGGTCATACAAAAATTACTAGTAATTGGTATATTATGGGTACATTTTGCGCCACACAAATTGTAGTCTCATAGTTTTTGCGAGAGCTGTGATACTGCTCAGATTTCGAGGCCGAAGCACGTGGTTGTATTGTTATGGGGCTATTTGCACCGGGAGCTTTTGACTTGAAATCTGATCCACAAGGCGGTGGACTATTGACTTCTCCTTTAGGCATAAACGAGATCTACAAACACTAGTAAGTACTCATGAAGCCTGTTGCATTGAGGAGACTAAAATTGAAACTAAGTCTAATGCAAAATACCTCGGTCTAGTTCTATCTTCCGACCTTAATTAGACATCTCATATCCTAACGATTTTTAAGAAAGTGTTGTGTCTAACCTACTACATTAAGAAACTTAGACAATCTGGAATCACCCAACCTCTACTTTCACAATTTGTCAACTCTTGTATCTAACCTATTTTACTTTACTGCTCCTCGTTAGTCTTTCCTGGTCTACTGAAAAAGGACTATACCATCCTGAGAAGGATGTTGAAGGTAGTTAGTAGGACTAGTGGTGTAAACCTCAGTCAGCTCGTCACTACATTAGTTGAAAGGCATCTGAATACATGCGAAAAATGGTCTAAAACCATACTCTCCGACCCCCAACCCCCCCTCTATTCCCAACTCTCGCCTTGTATCTCATCAATTAGAAACAGAAATCAGTATAAAATAATCTATGCTCGTACAACCAAGTACAGGAACTCAACAATACCATACTTGGCCCGTGTTCTAAGTGACAGAGACAATGTTAAGCGCGAAACCTATGACTTGCTTTGTTGTTAATAACAAAATTTCATGCTCTTTTATTTCTCTCTTATTTTGTATTCTATAGTGAAGTCCTTCTTAAACATACTTACCTACCTAAATTATTAATATTGGCTTACTTTTTTTGTACTTTACTCTATTTCTTTTTTTTGTGTATCTACTGGTTCCGACTACATTAGCACTATGAGTAGTACAAAATTTCCCTGTCTTTAACCATCATGTAATTTTGTGGTTGTTTTTTATTTTTTATTATTTTTCGGCAATATCAACTGACAATCATTGGTTGTGAAAGCCATTGCCACCATCGTAAAATTTTATATTATGCAGGATTACTCACACTACCACTACAAACACTCCATTATACCTGACAATAAAAACTAAACAACAACCCTGAAATGTTATTTTATGATTGTTTAGTGTTGTTTCAACCTAAATTAACTGATCGTCCTGCTGATAAACATTCTTAAGTATCATTTCATAACTTCTTGTATGACTATTGCTTTACTGTCAACATGCATAATCATATCATAGCTTCCACTACCCAATACTGAGATATTATTTTATGTTGTTTATTTTCCTTTCTACTTCTTGGTATTTTTTGCATTTTTTAAAATTATTTTCGTGTTTGTTTTTTTGTTGTTGTTGTCTTTATATTTATTTTTGAAATACTCTTTTTAAATGTTTTGATAGAATTACATGCAAATATTGTAGATATGTGCTGAAAATTCCACACTGTACCACTAGTAGTGTTTCTGGAATAAAGCAAATTATTATTATTATTATTACGATTAACGGTGTCAGTATCTACGTTGCCATGGTTTGAAGGGAAAACCGAAACACTAACATACATCACTCAATCCAATCACACTCTACCGTCCATATTCACCACGTAAGTGTGAGATCATACCATTCCAGCTCCTGCCAAAATACACCTACATCTCCACCAGTTCAGTTTCACTTTTGTGAGGAACAGCTTTGTCGCGTGAAGACAAAGAAAATAGGAGACTTACGTGGTAGAGGCTATGAACACGTGACAGCATGCGACTATTTCAAGAGGAAGACAGAAGTGTACCGATCCTCAGCCGTACTGGTTCGTTTACGGGGGTCTGGTCTAGTGAATTTATTGTTTTTTTTATTTATTACTTTATACAATATTTATTTATTGATTGATTTCTTTCTTCCCTTCTTTGCTTTTTTTAATTAGCGTGATCCAGATCTAGTTGAATTTTTAGGCCGTGTTATCCGCACTTGTGCTACTGACTTGGATTCAGCTGAAATGATCCGATATGAACCAGCTACCGGGCAGTTGGCTTCAACAGATCGTGGACGTACAGCTAGTTTATATTATATACGTTATGCAACTGCTGCAATGGTGAAAGATGCCTTAGAGCCGACAATGATGATTCCACAGATATTTAGTATGCTTAGTGAAGCAGCGGAATTTGCATCAATGAAGGTTAGTTGGAAAAGAAATCATGATGAAATCCTCCATGCAATCAAACAAAAATCCCTACAAAACCAACCAATACTTGAAAATTAATCTGATGCTCACTAGCTAGCGACTGGCCCTATTCAGGCAGTTACCTGGCTGGGGTTCTAGTGGGAAGCCGTGACCAGTAGGGTACAGCAGGTTGAAGATGAGGCAGTAACTCATCGAAGAACAAGACATTGCGAAATGGTCGCGCTATGTCGTGAATTGGCAGAAGTTAGAATTCAAGAACCATTGGATCAGGTCCCAGTGGCTCAATGGTCTACGAGTTCGCCTTGTAACCAGAAGGTCCTGGGTTCGAACCCTGGTTGTGGGTGAGTACTGATGAAGAGTCCCAAACTAGACTGACGAAACAGCAGTGCAGTACTCTCAGCTGGTTTTCCAGTGGTTCTCTAACTGATGTCAGCTCATGATGAAATCCTCCATGCAATCAAATAAATAAAAGTTTACTAGGGAACATTAAAACAATTAGTCCCTTTGATAAATTTGAATAAGGCATTTAGAAGACAAATTTCGCGAGATGATATCGTCATTTCGTAGTTTCTTTACAACCGCTTTACAACTGACATGGTTTACAATAATAAAATGAAATAAAATGCATGACAATTACTCAGTTATATAAAAAAAACAAAAGTACATACTAATGACCAATCATATTTAAATAGGTCAAGTAGTCAGTCCATGGTAGGCGAAGGTTGACGTCTATTGTGTTTTGTACACATAGTTTAGGATGCATGTGATTAATCCAACAAAGTGCTTCCATCACCCTCAATAACCAACCTTGAATTAGAGTTATGTGGTGAGATGATTGAGAAACAGTCATTAATATTGATTTTGTGACCTGATATTAATAAGTGCTTTGCAATGTATGATACTGGATTTCTATATGTTTTAATAACCATTTTGGAACATGTTCTTTTCGACTACGACATTGGAACATTCTATTGGTTCTACCTATATAGGTGTCACCGCAACAACTGCAGGTGAACTTGTAGATACAGTGTGAAGTAGAGTCCACAGAATTTCGTCCTTTAATCGTGTAGGTACAGGGATCAAAAATGTTCGGCA